ACACAAACTCTCGTGAAATATTTATGATTTTTTTTTTCTCCCCCACTTTCGGCTGCTCCCTTCTTCAGGGGTCGCCACAGCGAACTAAGCCGCACGAAGACTTGGTGATTGTTTTTAAGCCGGATGTCCTCCCTGACACAAGCACAGAGCCGCCACAGCCTCTCTGTGTGGAGCAGAGAGCTGCTCTGGGCGCCCGGGGGAGCAGATGGTGAGGGTTAAGAAAAACTGGATGAACCGTTTAAAAACCTTCAGACCAGTAAAATAAATCAGTTAAAATCATAGCCTTGATTCCACAGTAAAATCATATTTTTGCTCATTTAAAGCCTCTCTAGACCAGATAAAGATTGTAATGCAGGATACTGAGGGTCAGTAAATACCTGCTTACTGAAAACACAACACCAATATAAAATATATTTCACAAATAAAAGTCATTAGTCTTCAAAGCTTTAAAAAATCCTATTAGATGTAAAAATATGGTTCGTAATGTTGAATTTGTGTATAGTGCTAGACAAAAACTCAGTTATTCATGTGTAAATACTGAAGTGCTAAATATTTCTAGAATTAGGAAAAGACGGCATTCAAGTCAAGTTTGCAAACGTTACAATAAAAAGAGCCGTTTCTGCATCTTCTCCACTAAATACTTTTTTTTTTCAGAGCCAGAAAACATAGTTGAAGTGTGAGAAAGATTCAGCTCAAGAATAAAATACACAAATCTCTTTTTTTTTTTTAACATTAAACATTACAGAATTATAATAAATAGTTGAAAATAATCTGTATTTTTACATACGAAAGTGGGACAAGATGTTATTCATGCCACCTTTGAACTATACAAGGCTAAGTGAGTCTTTTCTATGTATTAGGGAAATTTATATGTATTCCTCTTTGATATAATAAAACTTGTGTTTGCATCCTTGTAAATTAATAAACAAAAAGTTGAGACCTGTTTATCAGATGTTTGTGATTATCTTCTAATAAAAGCAGAAACCTTCATTTATTCAACATGTTTTTAAGGCAAGCCTTAGTTTTTTTTTTACATCTTATCAGACTTTTTAACATTTCGTAATATATTAATCATGTCTGCAAAACTGCCCTTTGTTATTTCCACTCAGGCTCTTACTTAAATGTATTCAAATATTAAAATGACTGGTGGATGTCAGCGAGAGATATCAAAGTTTGATTATTGGGGAAGCTAACAAACTATTAGCTAGACTCAATCAATCTGTTGGACACGTTTTGTAACATAAATTAAATTACTGGGTAATAGGTAAATGACAAAAATAGCTTTTCTTTGGTGATAATTTAAATAATCATCTCTATGTGATTTGGTCAAAGCTGCAAAGAGACACTGCGGAGCCACAGGTTGCCAATCTACCGTATTTTCCGCCTAATAAGTCGCATCAGTCCAAATATGTCGAATAAAGTGGACAAACCCATAAATACGTCACTTCACCATATAAGTTGCATCTATTACACGTCACCGTTGACAACCTGGAAATGTTGTGCCAATAATTGGCTGTCAAATGGCGGCCGCGTAAGCGTGCGCAGGAGGACTTTAACAAGAATTGAACAAAATTAACACTTAAAAACAATTATTTGTTTGCTCGAAACTATAGTAAATGTGTGTCTCAGCCCAACTTTTCCTTAATAAATGCACTGACGGTCAAATCAGATGCATTTTCAAAAGCCGATACGCGGAAACAGAAACGCGCAGAGGGCGACTCGCTGTGCATTTCTTCGAAATATACCAAGATAAGCAGTTAAAACAATTATTTGTTTGCTCGACGTTATAGCAAAGGTGCGTCTCAGTTGAACTTTTACTTAATAAATGCACTGCAATGGTCAAATCAGCTGCATTTTGCCAGGGCGGCGCAGCGAAATGAAGCTGATTTGACAGTTGCTCCAGGCGAGCTGGACAAAGGTAGGAGAATATGGCAAGCCGATTGAGTCATTAATAGCCACGTTTACCTATTACATGACACAACAGCATGCCACACACCTCGAGTGCTATATATTGCTGAAAATGGTAGTGTTCAGTATTTTCAGTCAGAATGAATGAATGAAAACGGTCATATCTCAGCCAAAAAATGCTTTATAGATATGGGACAAATACATAAATAAGTCGCAGAACATGCAAATTATGCAAAAAACACGACTTTTAGGCCAAAAAATACAGTAAATAGACATGCAAATTACTTAATAAGCAATTATCTGGTTATAATGATTCCAGCACTTGATCATTTTATCTTAGTGGTAACATACTGGGTCAGCCTTTCGTCCCCACTAACACTTGACCGAGTTTGGTGTGAGACTCACTGCAGACCTGTTTTCACAATACACATGATTTATTTAAGGAAAAATAAGGACATTTCTGTGCCTTTTAACACATTGTGGCACGGCGTTAACGGCTTTGACGTGCAATCGGTACAACGTGATATACATAGTACCTCCCAAAATGGCTGCTAAGTATCCCGTCTAGCACCATCACTTTCTGTTTCAGTGCTGACAATAAGAAAACGTGTCTAGTCGAACTTGTCAGAGCGTTTCGGTGCCTGTTTGCTGCAGGTTCAGCGGTTTCCTTCAGAATCAACTCGTTTTTTTACGAGCTACTTCTCCTCGCTGCCTCTCCGGTAATCACCCTGTCCCACATGGAGGCTCGTCACATCTGCTCTCCTCTTTCATACCCACTTCTATGATACAAAGATTGTGTGTTTCAAACCTACTCAACCATAGAGGCCCCCCCCCACTCCCACCCGAGTCGTTCCCAGGCGGGAGAAAAGGTGTGCACAGATAAGAGGTAGCTGGGCCTCCGAGGGAGGAGGGTTAAGTTGAAGGTGAAGGTTTGACATGGCCGACTGTCTACTTGCTTTGGCTGCTTCCTCCCTCCCTCCTTCTTCCTCCTCCACCTCCTGATGGGAGGCTCAGACTCGGTCCCCCCACTTCCCATGTCCCTGGGCTCATACTTGACGGCCCCCACTGCTCCGGCTTTAATGAGGAAGATGAAAGAGGTGCACCCAGCCCTCCTCCTCCTCAGTCCTCACCGGCCCTCCAGCATCATCTAGCACTTTTGTGCAGGAGTGTGTGTGTGTGTGTGTGTGTGTGTGTGTGTGTGGGGGGGGGGGGGGGGTCCTACTGTAATAAAACGAGACTGAACCTGGTTTAAATTTTTCAGGTATTGTTCCTTCTGATCTTCTGAGCAAATTTCCTCTCATTCTTCACGTCTTGTGTTCTGCTTTGCAGCTCTGCCATGATTAAATCATAAACCCCTTTTTTCTTTTTCTTTATGTCCTTCTTTCACCGTAGTTCTTGTGTGTAGTTTTACTTTGATGATGGGGCCCATGTTTGGCCGTGTCTGTTAACAAAATATCTCACTGGATAAGTTTTCCTGAAACCCGATAAAAATAATCACTGGATGGGCATCAAAAACTAATTAACTTGCAAAAGTAAGCCACATTCAAGATGGCAGCAACAGCCAACTGACATAAAAACATACAGAAATGGCTACAGCTCTCAAACACTGAGCTAAAATTTAGTTTGTAGCTGAAAGTCAACCTCAACATCTTGAAATAATGGATGAACATAACAGTCCAGTTGACTCAGACCTGAGTTACCTGTAGTTGGAAGGTGTGTCCTTCTATTCTAGCTTCATCGTTGCCATCTGGAAACTGCAGCATTTGTTCAGATCCCTTCAGTCCAGCACTTCTTTAAATCTCTGCAGCAGGATGTTGTGAAAGCATCAAACTAGGTCATCTGTTTGACAAAAGGAGCACAAAAGTATCATAAACCAGTCTTCAACTTTAGTTTATATTATTATTATTTAGAAAACATTTATAAAAAAAATTTTTTTTTTTGGATGAATCAGTGTTTGCACGTGTAAAGACCTGCGCCTTTGAGTTGTAGCCACTCTGGTAGAATGCTGCCACCTTGTGGACAGTTTATGAATTACAACAGTGGCACTCCTGTTTCCAACCGTGCGATCCTTGTAAAATTGGTGATTTTGTGTTTCTATGGCTTTGATTAGACACACGTTGGAGCAAGATGTGATGCGGTCCTGTTGGCGTCATCGTGCCGGGATCTTCAGCTCTCACTGGAGCGGTTTGCAGCGGAGTGTGAAGCGGCTGGGATGAGAACCAGCACCTCCAAATATGAGGCCGTGGTCCTCAGTTGGAAAAGGGTGGATCGCTCTCTTAGGGTCGAGGGTGAGGTTCTGCCTCAAGTGGAAGAGTTCAAACATTTTGGGGTTTTATTCACGAGTGAGGAAGAATGGAGCATAAGATTCACTGATTGGTGCATCGTCTGCAGTATTGCAGACGCTGTATCGGTCCGTTGTGGTGAAGAGGGAGCTGAGCTGTAAGGCAAAACTCTCCGTTTACCGGTCGGCCTACATCCCCCTCACCTATGGTAAGGACGCCTCCCTTAGGAGGTGTTTCGGGCATGTCCAACTGGGAGGAGACCCCGGGGAAGACCCAGGACACACTGGAGAGACTATGTCTCTTGATTGGCCTGGGAACACCTTGGGGTCCTCCCAGAAGAGGTGGCTGTGGAAAAAGATGTCTGGGCCTCCCTGCTCAAGCTGCTGCACCCGAGACCCGACTTCGGAACAAGCGGAAGATGATGGGTGAATGTTGGAGCAAGATGTATAAACAATCAATGACAACAGGTAAAACCTGCTTGGTTCACCTCCACAATAGAGCACGTCAAAATATATTTAAATCGGAGCAGTGAAAGTTCCCATCAGTGCTGGTTAAATAAGTCATTTTGAAACTGGACACAGTTCAGAGCAGTGTTTTATTCAGCAGAGCACTTTCTTCAAGGCGAACGTTTCTGTGCTACAAATTACAATCTTAAACATGATTTCAGTAACTTGGTCTTTAATCAGTAACACATCCAAGTTTTCACTTTTTAAACAGACAAAATAAAAATACAGATATAAAAAAAAGATAGGCATGAAGTACCTGTTTTTTCCAACAATCAATATAATAATCATTCTTACGATTGTTCACATAATTATGACATAACAGGGACTTGAAATCAGAAGGACTTTGATAAACGTTGCAGTGCAGGTAAATGGTCCACAAGGACTGAAAACACGACAAAAACATTTTGTAAATGAGGCATTTTTGGTGATCTGGCTTGCTCATTACTCCAGTCTCACACGCTTTTGGACTTGTCCTGGTTGTTCTTGTATTTCTGGTAAACCACTCTCAGCGTGGTGAACAAGTTCCCCATAAAGAGCACCATGTATGAGCAGCCACACATCAAAACCTAGACGGCAAAATTAAAAGACACAAAGGATTTTTAACGGGAAACAGATTGCAGCAAACAAAGATTTATTGTGTCAGTTCACTTTGACAAGACTTAGGAAGTCGTTCCTGCAGGCAGGAAGCACCAAGCAGCAGCGTCTGTGACTGAAATGTTTGCACATGTGCAGTGTGGTTCTTACGGTTACACAAACATCAATCAGAACGAGAAAGGAGGAAGACATTTAAACATTAATTCTAGGCTATTCAACCAAAATAAAATGGCCTATTTGAAAACAAACAAAACATTTTGGCTGACAAATGTACAGGTCACTAACAAGATGATTCATTTTTAAGGGAACTCACCTGCCACTCTTTACACTCTGGAAGCTGGAACATCTTGAAGAGGGTTATGCTGTTGTAAAGCTGCCAGAACTACAACAAAGTCAAAAAATGCCCCCCCCCCCCAAAAAAAAGACAACTTTTCTCATTTTGTATTCTTAAAACCGTTATCAAAACTTATATTATTTAACATAAATGTCTAATCTTTTAATAAAATAAAATGACCATTAATAAGATTTAAATGCTACATACGTGACCAAAGAACAGGAAAGGGAGTAGAAAGGTCAGGCCTCTCCACATCCAGGACTGGAATCCCTCTAAACACCAGGATTTAAAAGAAAGCCACCATTACAACATTACAGTGAAACTAAAATTTAAACATTTTACATCTCAACAAGACGGTAATTCTAAAACAACCCTGATTCTGAACAAGTTGGGATGCTCTGTGAACTGGAAATGAAAGCAGAAAGGTAGGATTTGCAAATTAACGTATTTTTCGGCCTATAAGTCTTTTTTTTGTTGTTGCATAATTTTCATGCCCTGAAACTTATACGCCCAAACGACGCATTTATGGATTTTTCCCATGTTTATAAACCAAAGCTGAGATATGATCGTTCTCATTCATTGACTGAAAATATTGAACATCACCATTTTCAGACGCTAGATGGCACTGAGTAGAATGGCAAACTGTTGTGTCATGTAATAGGTAAAAGTGGCTATTAATGTAGCCACTCTAAGCTTTTTTATTGTTTTCTATTGTATGGGTGTACACATGTTTATGTTGTGTTTTTAATTTTACTTTATTTGTGGGTGTACACAAGTCTTATGTAATGTTCTCATTTTTACTTTATTTTTACTTTATTTTACTTTATTACTATTCGCACCTTATGTCGAAGCAAATTCCTAGTTTGTGAACCTCGTTCGTTGACATGGCGATAATAAACTGATTCTGATTCTAATGACACAATCGGTTTTCCAAAGCCTGCCACCTTCGACCAGCTCGCCTGGAGCAAACATCTGCACCGTCTCGGCGAAATGCAGCTGATTTGACCATTGAAGTGCATTTATTAAGTAAAAATTCAACTGAGACACACCTTTACTATAATGTTGAGCAAACAATAATTGTTTTAGGTGCTTATCTTGTTAAGTTTTGAAAAGATGTGCAGCATTCCTCCTTCCTCATTTCCTCCCTCTGCACGTTCCCGGAGCACCGAATGCTTTTGAAATGCAGCCGGTTTTACCATTACAGTGCGTTTATTAAGGAAACGTTAGACTGAGACACACCTTTATTATAACTTTGAGCCAACAAATAATAGTTTTTTGGTGCTTATCTTGTTAAATTTCGAAGAAATGCACAGCGAGTCCTCCCGTGCACGCTCCTGCGGCTGTGAATCGGCTTTTGAAATGCAGCTGATTTTACTGTCAAAGTGCTTTTATTAAGGAAAAGTTAGACTGAGACACACCTTTATTATAATTTCGAGCAAACAAACAATTGTTTTTAAGTGTTAATCTTGTTAAATTCTTGTTTAAGTCCTCCCGTGCACGCTCCCATGGCCGCCATTTGTCAGCCCATCGATTTCTGGCACAACAACGGCCCACGTTTCTAGGTTGTCGGCGGTGACACACAACAGATGTGACGTATACGGCAAAGCGACGTATTTACGTTTTTTCTTCTTCGCTTCATTAGACATATTTAGACTGATGCGACTCACGCGGCGGTGTGACGTGTACAGCGGAAAATCCAGTAAACCAAAATTTTAATTCCAGTGGAACATAGTAAAGATAAAATTAATGATGTTGATGAAATTAAATTAAATGTTGATGAACTTAAGACATGTGAACACCATTCAGCCGTTTCTGGGCCAAAACTCGTTTAAAATGGACTGAGGCCAAGTGGGAAACTGTTGTGTGGTCAGACGACTCAAACTGAAACTTCTTTTTAAAGAACAGACGCCACATCCTCTGAACCACAGAGGAGAAGGACCCTCTGGCCTGTTATCAGTCCTTTCTGCTCCACAGGAACTCCTTCCTCCCTGTGGCTGTCAAACTTTTCAACTCCTCCCCCTTTTCTACACACAGGACAATAACAATTGATCCTGCACCACAATAAACACTTGAATCATTAAAGTGTTTATTGTGGTGCAGGATTAATAAAAGTTTAATGTTTCTGTCTGCACCTGACCCGTTTTAGAACTTTGCTGGTATTTTTAAATTCTCTGTTATTTTTTATATCGTGTGTATGTGCCAACTCTGGCAAAACAATTTCCTGCGGGATCAATAAAGTTTTATCTGATCTTTTTAGCCTGCCTTTCTGATGGTATGGGGGTGCATTAATGCCTCTGGCATGGACAACTTACACAGACATTTACAGAGGGGATGCTTCACACTGGTAAACATGGCACCATCTCCATTTTTCATAAGATGTTACTGACATAACATTTTAAAAATGACCTAATTCTTAAAAACAACAACAACAAAAAAGTAGGATTTCCTTAGTTTCAAATTAATATGTTTACTATATTCTACTGTAAGAGGGAGTGGTGGCGCAGAGGTTAGAGAAGACGAGCATGTCGCCAGTTCGATCCCCTAAACAGTCAACATGAAAATGTGGGTTTATGAGCTTGTGTAGATTCTCAGGTTGATAAGATCTGCAACTCTCTACATCTGTCCCAACTTTTTCAGAATTGTTGCATTTAAACATTTATTACAGTACATGCATTACATGCGTTTCTTAAAAACATACAGCGTGCAATGTCACCACAGTGTCATCCAGATTATTTTTGTTTTTAGTAATGAGAGCATAAAGTAGCATCTTTTACAGGTGCCTAATAAAGAAAAGCTGAACTTTAAAGTGGCCAAGTCCATATAAAAACAATGCTGTATGCTTCAAAGTCACAAAACTTTTGTCAGTGAGACGGTTCTTTAAACAACTATCTGAAATGGCTCGTTTCTTGATCTGAACAATGCAAACACCGAACTGCTCACCGACGGTCAGATCCATGTTGTGTCTTTCTCCCAGAGCTCTGAGTCTGTACAAGCAGCCACTCTGATAGTAGTACTGAAGGAACTGAACAAAGTCTACAAACACAGAAATGAGGAGGAAAAAAAAACAAAAGTGCATGCATCATTTCACCGCTGGCTAACATACACATCACTTTTACTAATTTGTGGGACGAATGGTACAGTCGCAGAGTGATTTTAGTCATAAATAAAAAAAGATTAAACGTAAAAAAAACTGCTTTTTCTACTGTGAAAACACGACTTCTCAAATGTATCAACGACAACTTTTTATACTTTTACAGTTTTCAAATTTAATTAGGATTTCTCAGATGAGGATCTAGTCTTCCATAAAGACGAGTACACTGATAAGAAATTAATAATTTTACTGAAAATTGATTGATGTAAACTTGATTACACCAGTATAAACTAACTTTCATAGTATATTGTTTTTTTGACTATACATTTCTAAATACTTTTACTTTTATATCCTCAAAAATGTTAAAATTATGATTTAAATTTTCAAGGTAGCAATTATCCTGCAACTCAATGTTTTCAAAATGGGACAAAAATCTCTGTTCAGCAGCACAATTCATGCTCACACTGCCATATTTTAAGATGAGGGGTCACAAGCTCATGTTGCTTCATGCTAAAAGGGACAAAAGTCAAATCGCTCAGTGATAAAATCACATTGAACCATTTCAGCTGCAGGGCAGAGTTAGAAAACAGAGTAAACATCTTACTTTGGTAGAGATTGTAGGATAGAAACTGGTTTCTGAACATTTGGTAGAGAGCGCCGTCAGGCCTGCAAACAATAACAAAGTCAGGTCAGCACATGCTGCAGAATAAAAAACAGACGGCGAGTGTGTACTTATAATCATTACCAGCTGGAAAGTGTGTAAAAGTAAAAACATGCCTCACCAAGTGAGCATGACTCCAGACAGGAAGGTTGACACATAGTGGTGGAAAACCCACCAACCTTTAATCCTGGAATGGCACACTCGCATTACAGGGTGCAAGATTTCAACAGTTTATAGTTCATAAAATTCAGATCAAGTTCTGAAGCTGCGCAAGGTAAGCAAATGAAATTTGTGCACAATTAAGAAATAAAACCGTCAATGTCACAGACCTTGAGCCGTTGTTTATGAGGATACTTTCCCTGATGGTGAGTGTGCAGTAATACCACACCAACAGGAAGTTGAACAGAGCGTCCAGGACTCTGAAACAACAGCAGAAATGCCGAGCGGAATGTTCCATCGTTACAACGCAGATTTTAAATGCTATCCAATGCTTTACAAAATGTTGGCACATTTATATTTAAAAGCAGTTTGGAAAGCAAAGTCATGTGTATCAGCTGCATTTAAAATATCGACAACTTTCACTCCGCCAACATAAACGAAGCGCTGGGAAACATTACCTGTAGCTGAACAAAAAGCCACACGTGAAAGAAAACACGAAGAGGATGACAGTGAGGACCAGTTTAAACTTCTCATATTCATCTTTGTAAGCAAACCTTTGTTAAAAAAAAAAAACAAATAGAGAGGGTTGTTAATATTGTGGGAGTAAATCTGCACTCTGATGAGTAACTTCTATCTGCGGGAATGCAAGCGTCAACATGACTTACTTCGCCTGTTTGTTCAGGAGTGTTACATTGACGTTTCCAAGAACAAGAGTGAGGTATAACCTAAACAGGAGGAGGCATCATTAAAAAGTAATGTTGAAATTATAGGGACATTAAATCACAACATGGAACAGATTCATACCCGTTCTTCTTTGGCAGAAAAGCTTCCATCTCGGAGAAAGCATTTGTTTTGTCTTTAACGGATTCTTCAATTTCAGTGATGGAGTTCAGCTGCTCTGGGCTTAGTTTGAACGTTGGATTGTTTTCTTTGCATCTATACGTGGGAACAATTTGACATGTTTGCACGCCACATCTATACGTAATCATCAACATTTACAAACTTCATTTGCCTTGATTTAATTTCACCGTTCAAAGAGTGTCATGCATCCTCATTATTTTCCAACTCGCCAACCTGCAAAGGATCTGACGGACTATAAGTTTACCTAAACGCTCACTCAAGCACCATGAAACGATGCAAATCAGAAGCAGACATAATCCTGAACAAAACCCATTAGCGGTACTTGCTCTTTTAGCGAAGAGGTAAGCTCTTTCAGTTTCTTCCTCTGTCGTGCAATAGCACCAGAGCAGCTGTTTTGGAGTTTGGTCACTTCTTCAAGCTTATGCTTGTACAGACGATGGGTGTCCTGGGGGCAAAAAACAGAAACAAGAACGAATTAAAGAAAACGGTGTTGCGCAAATATTCAAACTTGAAAATAATAAATATATACAAGGTAGAAAGTACACAAACGATGGTATTGAATTAGTTTAGCAAATGCTTAATTGCCACATTTTTCTTTAAAATCAGCTTGGAGCTATTTTTATTTTACATTATAACTGTGGATGCATGTAATGCAGTGAACAGAACAGTGTGTCCCTATGAAATGTTTGCTGTATGACTAAAATATAAAAATATATAAAATATAAAAAGGCACGGAATGAGCCAATTAGCTTCCAAAATTTAGTGTTTTGGCAATTCTTGAACGAATATTTCTGAATTAAATTACAGTTACTGTGTATTCTTCACACATTATTGACGTTTTCGTTTATCTTCTTTTATTTATCACTTAGCCTACACATGTCAATAATCAGTAGCTGGTAAATAAGTGAGGGCGGCACCACTGTCCATTGTTTTCCCACAGCTGTTAGCTTACAGCGGCTAATGACGGGAGCATTGCTCTCCACCAACAAGAGAAGCTAATCAGTTTACCTGAATTTGTTGGTAGTCTTTCTCTAAATCGTCCCACTCCCGCAGGCATTCGGATAAATTCGTTGGACTGAACATTTCTGCTGTCACGTTTGGAAACCTTGCCGAGTTGAGAACCAGAACCCCGCTCTGTCTGTGCAATAGTTGTAGCGCCGTTAGTGTCAAAATTCGAGGCTATCAACAGGAAACACTTTTCCTGCTTATTGCCTTCAAAATAAAAACTAATTAAACGGATGTCTAGTTTGAATGTTATTCCTCAACTATAAACAGCTTTACTAAACATTTTATTTAAAAAAAATGGTGTAAAAAACTACTTCGGCTGCCATTTTTATACTCAGGAAAAGAAAGAACGGGTCTCTTTTATATGAACTAAGTGTGTATAACTTTATTTTGAAAGTTGTATTCCGTTTTTCCTTTCTAACATTATTGCGTCATGTTTGGAAGATGTCCAATCAAATTTTACGCTTGAAATACGTGATCTTGTTTTAGCCAATCAGGACCAACAGGTTTTAAATTAATTTTACCCACCAAAACACATAACAGCTACTCCTAATCTTTAATTTACGTTTCTAGTCTAGAATCAAATAATTTTATTTTGTAATTAACATGTACATTACACTAGATAAGCTGTTTGCTTCTTCCTGCTCCTTCCCGAACACATTTTGTCCTGAGCCTTTAGTGTATGTTCGAAATAAACAAATAAATATAGAGTTTAGTTGAAACTGTATCACTGTTAGAACTTACTTTCATAGAGTTAACATATAAAATAGACCAAAAATTATTTCTCGATTTTATTAAAGCTGTATACCATTTCTACACAAAAACTAACAAATGTATATTTTAATATTTTTATTCAAACTTCATCGAGCAATTTAGCAGCATCACCCATTTGTTGTTTCTATTAATTAAATGGAGTTTTGGACAAATCTGCCTGTTTCACTCCTGTGATGTGAAGCTCCCAGTCAGAAAGCTGCTGCAGAAACCCGGTGTTTGGCCTCATGGAGGATTTACATTTGAGCATGTATCTCCAGGCCTCCTGAAAAAAAAAATTAAATAAAAGTCACGTTTCACTACCACTTGTAAAAACACATGTATGCCTAAATAAATCATTTGAGGAGATAACTATTCTTTCATGTCTTTAGACAGTAAATATGATCTTTGAGTTTTGTGTTGGCTAATTTTTCCATCAATTTAGCTATGCTTTGTTTTGTGTTTTATATAGTTAAGTTTCTTTTTTCCTTTTTAGCAAAACACAGCATTGATCTACATTAGAATTTTTATTTTTTAATTGAAGCTTTTCTATTCTAAACTATAAGTAGGAATGTACTTCTCACAGTGTGGCTGGCATATAATTTTTAACCTTTATTTAGACACGTAAATCCCATTGAGCCTCGAGGACTCATTTACAAGAGAGGCCTGATTTCAACAAAGAAAGATGACAACAAGCAGCACGGTGGCGCAACTGGTAGAGCTGCTGCCTCTCAGCGAACAGGTCCCTGGTTCAAACCCCGGTCCAGGGGCCTTTCTGGGTGGAGTTTGCATGTTCTCTCCGTGCATGCGTGGGTTTTCTCCGGGTACTCTGGTTTCCTCCCACAGACCAAAAACATGCATGTTAGGCTGATTGGTAACTCTAAATTGTCCCTAGGTGTGAGTGTGAATGGTTGTTTGTCTCTGTGTGGCCCTGTGATGGACTTGCGACCTGTCCAGGGTGTACCCTGCCCCTCGCACAGTGATTGCTGGACATGGGCACCAGCGACCCCCGTGACCCAAAATGGAATAAACGGGTAAAGATAATGGATGGATGGATGGATGATGACAACAATTAGAATAGGATGATATTCTGATTTAGAACGATAACTTTAAGAGCTTAATAACAGTTTAAAAAAAAACTAATAATTTGTGAGTAAACGTAGTGAATCACACTTGCCTCCAGTGAGTATTTAAAGTGCTGCATGAGGAAAGCGATGGCCACAGCGCTACTGCGGCTTCTGCCCTGCCTGGAAACTATCAGGACACGAGATCTAACTCTGATGTGTGAATCTGAAAATATGAGACAAAATTAGAAGCTGTTCACCTTGAACATGTACAAGTGACAATATCTAAAAAGTATCTAGGAAAGACAAAGTAAAAGCAATCAATAAAGCTCAATAAAACCTTATTCTAACATGACATTTAACCTTGTTATTGTTAAAACACTTTGACTGTTGAGTTCAAGTTCAATTTTTGTTGTTAGTAATATGAACGTAGCATCAAAATGTGATGAGGCTTGAAAAAGTTAAACACATTGGTCAAGTAGTTCATGTTCAGAGAGCAGCACAAGCATTAAAACTCACATAAAGTTTTGAATATGACATAGTCTGTCCAGAAACACCTTTCAATATATAATCTGTTTTATGAAACTGCACACAAACTCAACTGACCTTCACAAAAATTCACAGAATTTTTGTATTTTATTCATATTTTTTCCTTTACGTGTTAAAATTGAACTATGAATTTAATGAAATATTAGATTTGGAATGTGCCAAGTACCCTCAAATTACTTAGTTTGTTTGCCCTCCCTACTTTTTATTGTATTTGTTGTTCACGTTGACAGAATACAGAATTCACCGTTACATCGTTACCCGAGATTTTCAGGTTTTTGTTTCTGTGAAGAAACTACATTTTATTGCAACAAGTTGAATAAAGTGAGGGCAATACTCACTGATGAAACGGCAGATCGGTTGGAAGTTTGAATATAAATCAGACTCCACAGAGTCAGTCACAGGAATGTTAAGAATGGTCTGGTTCCCTACTACTGACCTGCATTGTAAAGAATATATTCCATAAAAACAGAAATATACTTGCAGGACATTTAAATTATCTCAGATATATTAATTATCAGGTCCTGTCTTACTCTAAGGAGTCGTTCTGTGTGAAATGGGAGAGGTTGACGACGGCACTGATTGTTAGGTCCTTGAGGATATCCGTGTCCTGGCTTTGCTTCTGGTCGCCCATGTATAACAGTCCAGCTACAATTTCCACGGGATAAATCGGAACATTTTCAAGCTCCTGCGGTTGGAACAGAAACAAACCCGATTGTAATTTTGTGAATATTTTAATCCATATCACAGGATTGAATTATGTTCAACCTTCTTCAAAAGAGGGATGAGGAACCTTGTTTTTGAATTAATTATGTACATGAATAAGAGTGTGTGTTTGCCGTGCTTTACTGTGATGGTGTAAAGGATCTTCTTGGTCATTAAAAATGGGTACAGAGCTGCGAACCTCCGAAAGCCTCCTTTCAGTATGTGGACTGGATAGAGGCTGAATTTAGCCAGAGCCTGGGCACAGTGCATAGCCCTACCTAAAGTCAAAATTAGTCACGCAGGAGAAGTAAAAAAACAACAACTATATATTGTAACATATTAGTTGACCTCAGACACTGCAACTTTAAAAGAAAAATACCTTTTTCCCATAAACAGCTTGTGTTGCTGTCATAGACCACAATGCGCTGCATACTATCAGCCTCCACATCTTCTGGAAAAATACATTTTCCATCTGACTCCTGGGAAAAAAACACAAAAAAAAACCTCATACGTTTGCATTAATGTTATGATTTGATTATGTAAAAATACGTACATCATCACCAATTGTGCGTGCGGGAACTCAAAGAGAATGTCATCACCACTGATTCACATCCACTTCTAATAATTTGAATTGCAATTCCTTTTGTAGGTATTGAACCCCAACTTTATCTAAAATGACACACACTGCCTCCATTCCTTAAATATACAATATTTCTGCATAATTTTTAAGATTATATTATTTTTCCCCTTCAGTAAGCAAGGTGAGCCTTGGGAAACTGGATGCTTTGAGGTGCAATGTGCTCCGTTGCCGTACTTTTTGGACTATAAGGCGCATTAAGCGAATAAAAAGTCATATAAGTCAAACTTTATTCAACTTTTTCACAATAACTCAACATTGTTCAGTTGTACCACATAAAATCCATTCGAGGTCAGTGAGCACAACCAGTATGAATACATTAGGCGTACTGGATTATAAGGCTCACTGTCGATTTTTGAGAAAATTAAAGGATTTTGAATGCGCCTTGAAAAATACGGTAGTAATAGTCTGTGTGTGAAAGTATTCATGCTTGTGCAATGCAATATTGTTTTCTTAGCATTTATCATAGCTAAATTGGTCTACTCGTACCCATCAGTCTTAACCTAAATTGCAGACATATGTAATAATATAAATACCATTTTCATGCATTTAGCTGTTACAATGTGACTTGTGTAGTAGTCTTGGAGTTCACGAGCATCTAAAAAAAGAGAGATATACAAACGTTTTACCCACAAAGTTCTGTTGAATGAACTCAGAGCAACCAACAGCATCTATGTTGATGTCAGCATCAACAACTAGTTACAGTTCAGTAACTGCAAGTCTTACCAACCAACCAGAGATAGTTGATCTCGGCCAGCCTCGACACACGGTGGAACTGGTTCAGGAGGTTGTAGAGCTCAAAAGGGTTGCACATGATAATTTCAGCCATCACATGAACAATAAGAAGGCAATGACAACAAAATTAATCTCAATAAGTCATTAGAAAACAATATATCGGAGCAAGTTTGGTGACTGAGAAGGAGCACACTTAATGTTTGAGTTGTTGCTAAGCAACGCAAGTCTCCCTTTCATTGGTTGCTGGTGACGATGATGCAGCCTTCAAGTCACAAAACTCACGTCTTAACGGTGTAAAATACGTTGATTCCTAACAAATACACATAAAAGGATTCAGATGAATTCATTTTCTACTTGAATTAATTGTTAAAATGTTATTTTAAATGACAGACACTGAATTTGTACAAAGAACATCCAGACACAAACAATAAAAGACCACTCACACAGTTGAGCTTCACATTTTAATAAAGTGTCCTAAAATTCAATATCTTTGTCTATCATACATTTCATTCACTCATTTACACAATTTCGTTTCTGAATGCCGTTGCAGACCGCACTAAAAGTCAAACACAGTAAAGTTGTCACACAGAGGCACTTCTTAAACTGACGTCCCATCTTCTTTATTGTACAGGAGCGTCTGTTGACCGCACCATCTTTATGCAGCCTAAGTCCTTTTAATTCTCATAAATAACTTCAGTGCTCCTGGTTGACAAACTCAAGCTAATCTGAGAATTATATTTCTACAGCGCATTTCATTGGAAGTATACAGTTAGTATACGATGTGTTATAAGACTCTATTAACAGGTTTTCTATAAAACAAAACAATAAAAACAGACAGCTGAACTCTTTGTTTGGGATGAATCGGATATTCAAATAACTGGGATGAAGCGTTCCAGTAAAATATCTTAACAGGTGTTTAAACAATTCGTTTAACTTTTATTTATACAGGTTAGTCACAATGAGTCACGAGGACTCATTTTCAAGAGAGACCTGTTCTAGACAAACAGCAGATAAGGTAAAGACAATAATAAACAATACAACAATAAAATGCAAATAAAATAACAATAAAAGTAGTGTTATAAACAATAAAATCAAGGTGCCTTATAAACAAGGTAAAATACTACAAAGACAAGAGCATATTTGCTTTGACTTTTCTATTGACCTTGCCAAAATCCCTTAAAGATATCGTGATCTTTTCGCAATGTCTTGTAACAGGAGCAGAGTAGAAAAAAGCCTTTTTGCCGAGTTCAGTTCACATTTAGGGGACACTGCAGGTAATGATAGCCTGAGAGCGCACGCTGTAACTGCACTGACGACGTCACGTGACATGTGGGAGGAGATATAAGAAGGTAGCAGGCCAAGGAGGGATTTATAAAAGAAGATGTACCAGTGTGAGAGCCTGCGTGAAGTTAATGATGACCACCTGACCAGAGTGCAGTGATGGGTAAGATAGTTACAACCAGTTATGAAGCACGTCATGACAGACAGCATCCAACATCTGCAAGGTGCTGGCAGGGTCATTCATGTAAATAATGTCACCGTAGTCAATGTCCGGTATGAAAGTAACAGCTACAAAGTGTTTCCTGGCATTCAGAGTTAGACAAGATCTATTTCTGAAGAATAAATCCAGTTTTAATTTCAGCTTCTTTATCAAGTTTTTGACATGTGGTTTAAAGGAGAGATGTGTGCCAACCAAAATGCTCAAGTATTTGTAAGAATCCACAAACTCAATAGGAACACCATGCCTGGATGAGATAGGAGGAAGGACTGCTGGCACCAACTTTCTGTTTGAAAACAACATCCCTTTAGGACCAGTTTGAGATGGGACAAATCTGACTGAATGATGTCAAATGCAGACTGTAGAAGCTGGAAAACCTTAGTAGCTGTTTTAGCTTGACGATAAACAATTGTATCGTCGTCGGCATAGAGATGTAAGGAGGCGTCAGGAATGTTTTGACCTACATTACTTGTATAAATTGTAAAGAGAGTGCGTCCTAAAACTGAGCCTTGTGGTACACCATTATTGACAGTTAAATAAATAAGTTCAATAAGTTAAACAATAAATTTGAGTTTAAGGCTTTAAGGCTTTTTGAATAAGGGTAAGTGATAATAGCGATGTCACAGTCTCACAATAAAAACTTCTAGTGGAATTGAAGGGCCTCCAAAGTTTCAAGTGTACCCAGGGACGGCACACGTTGGAGACCTCGCTGCCCGGGGGAGCGAATCTGTGTACTTGGAGGAAACGGTGTAGGATGGTGGGTTGTCAAATTCAGGAGATCCAATACTGTTGCTGGAAGAGTCATCCATGGAGGGATCCTGCAAAAAGGAAAGGCTCAAATCAGTTTAGTGCTAAAATATCTTGTTTGTGCCTTCATCATCTGCTCCACATGCTGGCCTTGATCAGTCATCTCTTCACTGTTTGCAGTTAGTCCAGAATCTGCTATATGTCAGGCATGGTAACATCACTGCTGTGTTGACAAATTAATACTGACTCCATGTTTGGTTTTTGTATTGATTGTAATATTTATTTAGCTTATTTTTAAAGTTCTGTTTGCATTTAGATCGCTAAAAGAGAACAAAGATCATTCAACCTGGTGCTTTTAGTGCAGTCAAAATTAAAGCACAGAGAGGATCACTTCCTTGGGATTAGTTTTATAATTTGTATCCACCCGCTTCCCTCAACATTTCATCTTCAATCTTAAGATTTAGGAGTAAATTGTAGTAGGAGCAGAGGCGATGAAAGTGGTACCTTTTGCTGGAGGACATAAAGAGAAGTTACCGCATTAATCCCATTACGCTTTGCAGTTTTGGGAGGCGCGTAATCTGTAATAAAGCACAAGGTATTGGACATTTTGACTTTGAAATGTGTAGTGTTCACAGATCAAACTAATCATAATCACAGTGAAACCCAAAATGTTCTCTTTACCATTTTGATTAAGAGGTGTGTGACGAGAGCGGCTGTAAATCCTGGATAAAGGCTTTCTGGGTTTCTGCTTTGATCTAAGGCAAAAAGAAATAAAGCTTGACAACTGTTTATTTGCACTTTCAGAATCTTTTGATTGACAGATAAATAAATGAAAACTCTTACTTTTTAGGAGTCCAACATGCGCACACCGTCACCAAAGTGATAAGGAGGAAGATTCCTCCCGTAGAAAGGATGATGTAGAGAGAACTTCTTTCTAATATCACATGCAAGATTAAAGTTATTCATCGTAAAATAACATGTTCATGCACAAGCTCATACAAAGTGAATAATGAATGTGTGTTTATTAACTGCTATCTACAAGTAGCAACATGGGCGTGGCATGTTTGTTTGACAGTTTGGGATACACCAAGTCTTAGGAATTTTAGACAAACAATTTACTAAATTAACTTTTTTTTTCTGCTCCATGTTCATTATACATGTGATGGGATTGGTGAAGCATCCACACCTGTCTCTACCCTCATTTGCCCCATTCTGGGCCCTTGAGCAAGGCCCTTAACCCTCCCATTTGCTCCTCTGGGCGCCCTAAATAGCAGCGCTCTGCTCCACACAGAGGCTGTGGTAGCTCGGAGGTCTGTGGTTGTGTCAGGAAGGGCATCCGGTGTAAAAATAATTGCCAAGTGTTTCGTGCACCTCAGTTCGCTGTGGTGACCCCTGATGGAGGGAGCAGCCGAAAGAAGAAAAGTCCATCATACATTTAAATTACATTATTGGTGAGGAAAAACTGAAAAGTTGTACAAACTTTTGTAAAGTAGGAGTTAAGGTTTTTAGTGTATCTGTGTGAACTTGACAATCTAAGATTTGAGAGGTACAGACTGTGTGTAGCTTAGAACCGTCCATTATGAATAATTTGTGATAATGTTGCCATTATCACAAATTATTCATTCGACCTTTATTTGAATAAGTGGTGATAATGGCAACATTATCATTAACATTATTGGCCTGACATGAGTATTTCTGCAATTCTGGGAATGTTTAGAGTCGTGTGTGGATGGAAATACTTTACAAGGGGGGAAATATCAGGTTAAACCAGGTCAAGAGGCGTGTAGTTGAGGACTTAAATTCTGACATACCAGTAACGCTGTTAAAATTAATTATTTGATGGTGTGACAATACCAAGTTTGTGTGTTTTGTCATATATTTTTATTTCATGTTGTGATCCTGGGGTTTGTGTTGTTTTGCGTTCATGGTTGTTCATCCATCCATCCATTCATTATCTTTACCCGTTTATTCCATTTTGGGTCACGGGGGTCGCTGGTGCCCATGTCCAGCAATCACTGTGCGAGGGGCGGGGTACACCCTGGACGGGTCGCAAGTCCATCACAGGGACACATAGAGACAAACGAGACAAACAACCATTCACTCTCTCACTCACACCTAGGGACAATTTAGAGTTACCAATCAGCCTAACATGCATGTTTTTGGTCTGTGGGAGGAAACCGGAGCACCCGGAGAAAACCCACGCATGCACGGAGAGAACATGCAAACTCCACCCAGAAGGGCCCCTGGACCGGGGTTTGAACCAGGGACCTTCTCGCTGAGAGGCAGCAGCTCTACCAGTTGCGCCACCGTGCTGCCCCATGGTTGTTTAGTCATTTCCTTTCTTGTATTCTGATATTTTCTGTTATTTATCCTCCCTCTTGCCATAGTTCCTCAGTCAACTTTCCCAGAATATATGTGCTCCCAGTTCACCTCGACGTCTTATTTTCAGTCATATTATTTCACTCTCCCTCCCAGATTGTGTTGTTATTGTGTTATATTTCTTAGGGAACTCCTTATGTTTCTGATGTTAGTTGTTTTTTCCTTTTATTAAACTTTTAGTTCACTCAATTCGAGTCTTCCATTGTTCGAGTTTCCACTTTTGGTTCCTTGTACTTCAGTTTGCTCAGAACGAGCTGAAACGAGCTAGCTATCACTGGGCCAGGGTTGTTGCCGACGTAAAAACCCATAAGTTCTTTGGAACACCTCAAGGAGAAACAAGGATGTTTTTGAATCATACTGGGGCAAAAGGCCAATCAAAAAGGCCCAGCAAATAGTCAACCTGAATAGGTAATGACGTTAGTCATTATTAGAACCAACCCACTGTCGTGTCACTCTAATGGGAGTATTTACGATGCAAATAGATGAAATAAAACAAGGAAAGGAGAAACTCATAGTAAAATGCCTTTTGTAACCTTGGCCACCATTATTCTTTGTTTTCATTCTGCTGTCCATGCCATCATCTCTGGTATTTAACTTCAACCTACACTGCACAACATTTATAACCACTTACTGTACACAGAGAGTCTGATAGGCTGACTTGTCACGTTGCTCACAGGATTCTCCACTGTGCACACATAGACGTCATCATCTGCCATCAGCACTCGGGTGATGGTCAGCAGCTTCTGATCAGGCGACAGTACAAATCTTGTCTCATTGCTCAGGGGTTTTCCACCTTTGAACCACCTGTATGTGGTTCTGGTCCCATTGTCGTGGGAGCAGTTGAGAATAATGTTTTCACTGAGCTCCAGTACCGATGAAGCCTCCATGTGGATATACGGCTTGGATATGGGCTCTAGGTAAAGATGAAAATTGACAATAGTTATACACGTATACAACATGGATTTAATGAAGCACAAGACATGTGCTTGGAGTCATGCTTTTTTCAATAAGAGTACTTTGGTTTCCTCCGACAATACAAAAATATGCATGATGAGCTAACTGGCGATTGTAAATTGGTCCAAGGTGAGAGTGTGTGCTTGTTTGTTTCTATGTGGTCCTGTAATGGGGTGGTGACCTGTTCAGGGTGTATCCTGTCTCATGCCTGTTGATTGCTGGAAATACCACCCCATACCAATTTATTTCTAAAGCACTTAAAATACAACAAGCAGCAAAAAAAAGGCACCAGGTTCCTACAACACTGAACAAAATATGCAACTTCAAAAAAAGTGATTGAGTGGCTGAACGTTTTACCCAGAAATTGAGTACTTCATGTAGAATTTGGACCATGAAGGCTTCATTTGTGGAAATATAAAACATTGCATTTTAAATGACAAATAACTGATCAATAGTCAAATTTAATTTAGTTTTTGTCCCACAGAGGGTCAGAAATATGTAGCTGCATGGTTCCTGGAGCACAATAAATACAGTGAAATGATATAGTTGCTGACAAAAACAATAGAGAATTGCTCAAGAGAATCTATTTTCTACCATCCACAGTGAGTGTGATGCTGCCCTCTCCTGTAAACACATCGTCTGTGATTGAGATCTCCACGTCATAAACTCCATCATCAGAGAGTCTGAGGTTGTGCAGAAGCAGAGTCCCATTCTCAAAGATCAGGATGCGATCTTGATACTCTGACCTCAAAGTCCCAATGATGACTGTTCCAATCGTCTGGACGACGGTAACAGACTTTTCCCTCTTGAGCTGCCACTTGATGACCGGCGCATCCAGGCTGAGAGTATTGTAGCTGACCGACAGAAGGGCCTCCCCTCCGATTACTCCTCGAATCAGAGTGTTAGGGATGGTCATATTCACCGCCAGCACGTCACCTGTGGAGAAACATAAACAGAGGTCCCAGAATTAGATTTTCATCTGCATGTTCACCTGGTTATATCATAGGACAGCTGACACAGTAACTTTGAACTTGGGCTGAGGGATCATTTCCAACAGATCAGTTGGGCGTGCTGATTCCTGGTGACATAAACATGCTCTTTGTCTTCTTTCTTCTTCTTCCGGCTATCCCCTCTTCTGGGGTCACCACAGTGAGTCATCCTCCTCCGTCTCACTCTGCCCTCTACATCCTCTCTCCATCCACCTCCATGTCCTCTCTAACTGCTTCCATATACTGTATCTCCCCTTTGACCTTGCATTTCTAATATCTTTCTACCACTGCCCCTCCTCCAGACATGTCCGAACCATCTCGGTCTGGCCTCTCTAACTTTAAACCAGCTCTTTGTAATTTAGTGGAAAGATTTAGAGGCATTTCTTGGTTTATTTGAACATTGCAGCTGACTTGATACCACTGGACGCGTCCTCTCCTTGTCAACTCAAACATTACTTTCTGCAATGGCATTTAACTTATTTGCATTGAGGCAGTAAACTGTTTTCATTGCTTGTGGGGTATTTTCAGAGAGTGGTGAAGGCTGCACAGAAGTCTGTTGGAGTGAGCCTCCCCATCATCACATACATCTACACCTCCAGATGCAGGAAGAGGGCCACCTGCATCATGAAGGACCCCACTCACCCAGCACACACACTTTTTGCCCCGCTCCCCTCAGGAAGGAGGTTAAGAAGCATTAAGTGTAGAACCACTAGACTGAGGGACAGCTTCTACCCTGAAGCTGTTAGACTCGTGAATATCTAACCAGAATAATCACTGTGAACAATCACATCATGTTGCTGCTGATCTGTTTCATGTTGCTGTGTTCATGCGTGCTCATCTGCTCACACAGACCCCATGTTCGTGCTGCTGTTCGGCGTATTGTTTTTATGCTACTAGTACTTAGTGTGTTTTTAGTTAACATTTTTCTTAGTTCATATTTTTTAGATCTTATTACCGTTTTTCTTTTACACACATTTTAATACTTTTGTTGGATGTAACTGGGACCCTGTGTACACAATCTCGTTCCACCACATGTCCCACATGTGGTGTATATGACAAATAAAGAACCTCGAATCCTTGAATTTTTTTAGTTTGTTTTCCCACAGAGATACAAAAGTTCAGCGAGCGCTGATTTCAAAATGAAGACATCACATCACTACGTCATTTACATGGAAGTCAGTTTGTATGTGTCCGTCATACAGAGCTGTCTGTTTCTGGGATGGGCCCGCTTGAACCAACAGAAGCGATCTTTGTTGTTCAGATTTCCCTCGTGGCAGTTCATGAACAGAGCACTGGGAGCAATCCAGAGATGCAAGCTTTGCAGAAACACTGTAGCTCAGTGATGTTGCTGCCAAACACAACAACAGCACAATAATGAGCACAGCTGAAAACATGTGAAAACACTGGTTCTGGAAGGGACAACTATTTTATTATTAACAAAGAGGGGCCACACAACGGTAAAAACACTGACGATTGATCTTATTACCGGTACTTTTGTGAGGGCTTAAGGTAAAGACACTGGGGTGACTGAACAAGCTAAAAAAAAAAAGTGCACAAGTATTTAGAAACTTCTAATTGATTATATGACAATGTGTAACTTTAAAATCAAACAGTTAACACTTTAAAGCTCTGATACACGAAGAAACATGGAAAAAAAAAGAATAATTTCATACATGAATTTTAACAATTCCTTGTAGATAAAATGATCCCTCCATCGGATGGTGCATCCATCCATCCAAAGATGGAGCATTGCATGATCAGTATTATATTTCTTAAAAGCTACTTACCTGAACTGTTGAAACCGAAGCATAGCAATAAAATCTGGTAAATCCTTTTGGCTTTTGAAGAAGTGTCCTTCTCTGGCTGCATCTTGGGTAAAAAGCTTTGTTTTCCTTCCAGACAGTCAGCATGATTTCTGGCTCTGGGCTGGACGGAGGACACAAGTCATTCATTCACTCTGTGCTGAGACTGAGGACGTGTTGTTCTCTGAAGCTCTGGAGAACAGGACAACAGTGTGCATGTGTCTCCAGATCTTTATGTGGGTTCAGCTGGGTTTGCACTTTTTGATGCTTTCTTTTACAAACACATTTTTTTTTTAATTCATTAGTGCATATTTTAGTTTCTATTTCTTCAAAAACTGACTCGCTCTTCTTCATAAAACTGCTCAAGCTTGATCAGATTGGATGGAAAATGTATGAACAGCAATTTTCAAGTCCAGTCAAAGACGAGTTGAATTTAGGAGTGCACTTTTGACTGGACCGTTTTAACATATGAATGTTTTTTTCTTGCAGGATTGGACCATCCATCTTCCCATCAACTTCCATGTCCTGGTTAAAGAGTCATTCCCTCAGCGTGCTGCCACCACGCATCAGTGGGGTTGGTGTGTTCAGGGTGGTGTGCAGTTTTTCCACATTTAGGTCGAAAAAAGTTCAACTCTAGACTCATTTAACTACAGCCATGTGTTCCCTTCATGGCTTGCAGACGTGATGTCTCAGTGGTTGCCTGTGTACACCTGAGCTGTGAATCTCTGCTGCTCTTCAGTCACCCAAGGTGCTTCTTTGCCCCCATGGGCTGGTTTTTTTGGTGCTTAACAGCTTAATGATGTCCTCACCCAGCCAGTTTAGGTGGAAAACCATTTCTTGAACAATGCTCTGTGAGATGTTCATAGTTAGGGATATTGTTTTATAACCTAACCCCACCTTAAACTTCTCTGCATCATCCGTGACCTGTTTGATGTGTTCCTTGGTCTTCATAATGCTGTGTGATCATTAATGTTATGTAACAAACCTGTCAGGCACTCAGCTGTATTTATACCAAGAATAAATTACACACGATGTACTCCATTCAACAATTAAGTGACTTCTAAGGGTATCTTGCACTGGTTTTTAAGTTTAAGGCAGTGGTCCCCAAACTTTATTGCGCCACGGACCGGGTTGATGTCAGACAATATTTTCACGGACCGGTGAGGCAACTTGGTCTAGGGGTCCTCCACAACATAACTTTGAATAAAGTAGATGTCATTTCCTGCATTCTTGTGTATTTTACAAACATTTAAAACAACTTTCGCTTCAAATACTCTGCAGTCAAACATCTTCATGAGCTCAGATCATCCGTTTTATCAGTTCGGTGAAAGTTCATATAACTCCTACAGTGATTCACATCAGATTGTTCACAAAAGCACAGGAACTTATGCCTAGTGCAAAACGTTTAATTCTTTTTTTGTGTTTTATAATAAAATTACCCATGACTTTGAACTTTTAGGGGCAGAGATTTTTTTGAGCAGAAGCAAAAATGTGAAGCGACAGCTCTGATGTGATATTAAGGAGCTTTAAGTGTAGAACCACTAGACTGAGGAACAGCTTCTACCCTGAGGCTTAGTCTCATGAATCTCTAACCAGAATAATCAATGTGAAAAATCACATCATGTTGCTGTTGATGTTTCATGTTGATGTGTTCATGCGTGCTCATCTGCTCACACAGACTCCTGCTCATGTTCGTCGTAATGTTTTTATGTTATTAGCGCTTAGTATATTTTTAGTTGATGTTTTCCTTAGTTCATATCTTAGATGTTATTGTTTTTCTTTTACATTTTATTGTTGGATGTAAGTGGGACCCTGTGTACATAATTTCATTCCACCACATAAGAATCTCTGACTCTGATATTAGGAAGCTTGTTAAAATTAGTTTTATTTATGGTTTTAAATTAGTCAATCTTTGTCAGGCGGGTTGAAAAATATGCAGTGTAATCCTTCAAAATGCACAGATACGGCCGCGCACCTTCACCTGTCTGCTCCAGACCACGTAGCTGAATTGCTTTGTTCTTCAGCGGCAATGTAGAACTGATCTGCGCATGCACCTAGCCAAAACTGACCACTTGGGGATGTTGACCTGCGTCAAGAGTGAGTCATAGACTGGTGTGATAGAGAGAATACGGTGATTTTTCAAAATAAAACTTTTTTTCCCCTCTTCTGTGTGGCCCGGTACTCATTGACCCACGGCCCGGTACCGGTCCGCGGGTTGAGGACCACTGGTTTAAGGCATCAGAGCAAAATGTTCATAAAATCCCAGCAAAATACACACAAAATGTGGAAAAGTTCATGGGGTATGAATTATTTCCCAATGCAGTGCACCGGCACAATTAGAACAGAGATAACTTTGTGGAATAGACAGAAGTAAAGCTTTATTTCAGTTTCAGAGTGGTAGAAGCTTTTTATCAACAACACAACACATACCACAACTGGACCACATGACAATTCTGAGCCTATAGGTGTACGCACACGGTTTATATACCACACGATGCCATCAACTGGTTAGAATGACACAAGATTATTAAAACATAAACCTGGCATCTGATCTGAGAGAATTCTTGGTCCTGTGAGTTGGGGTTTGGCCGGCTCATAAGTTTACACTGGCATGGATATCACACAAAAAAACATCAATATTTAGAAGGGAAAAGGGTAATAATTGAAGCTACTGAATCAAGTGGAGGTAGGTACACAATAAATAGGAATGGCAACAGGTGTACAAAGATGTGAGGAGGTTGCAGTAAACGGGGCATTCAGACTAAACGAAGTGGCACAGGTGCATTAGCAGCTGCTTGTGTTTTGGCAGTAATTAAGATTCCTAACCTACTAATTCATTAAATGTTTTCTGCCATTCACGTGTCGATGCTAAAACTACATTAATTAATGCACAAATGTCGCAGTTAAAATTTCAGCTAACTTGGGTTTCTGTATTAATAATGGGAAACATTTTAAAACTGGAAAGAGAAAGCGAAACATTTGAAGGCATGGAGATGGAAAATCTGCTATTTTAGACAGCGTGTGCCTCAAACTGATGGATAAAGGCAGGTGGAAAAGTTTTTCGTAGGGCTTCCTGAAAATGCAAGCCTTTAGTTCTTTTTTTATGCGTCTCTCATTTGGATAAAACACACAAAAGCAAAGTGCCACAATTTAGCAATTAAACCAAACCACAGCTTCTACATTTGTTTTCTAAGTTTTTGTGAAGGTTTGCAATAATTTTAGAAAATTTCATACAATTACGAGAACAAAAATGGCATCTAAATGCTGCACAAAATTTGAAAAAACATTAAATATGCTTTGTGTGTTCAAGTCATGACAGAGAAGAAACATCAGTGGCTTCAGTTTATGATTTTTCTATAAATGGCTGACAAATCAACGCTGGTGTCGTCCTGAAGGGGACAGCCAGAGCAAAGGCAATACCAAAAATAAATCTAAACCAAAGCACAAAATAAACAACTAAAAGCAATGGCCTAGTTGAAACTCGAGTGGCGTTTTTTTGTTCTTGCTCAGGACAGTTTCATTAAGACGGTCAGTTAAAGAAGGAATGATGAACACGTTTTTTTACTGGACAGTAAACTTAAATGGAGTGTAACAAGAGAAATGAAAAAGCACTTTTAAACCGTGGAAAAGAAACTACAACAACGATCCCTAATACAGTTGCACTGACATATAACAACCTATTGATTTTTTTAGAGGAAAAATTAAAATACTCCAAATGTTTCAGATTAATGATCAATCACTGCTTAGATTTGTTCTGGATGAAGATCAGACAAAATAAAGAAACACTCAAGTTTGTTGCCAGGTCTGAAAGAGAGGAGATGCTGTCGGGTCCGGCGGAGCAGATCAGTTCTTCAGTATGGAGTCGTACATCTGGTAGACGTACTGAGACACTTCAGGGGCCCGACACTTGAGCGACAGCTGTACAGAGAAAACAGACGTTGTTTCAATCAGATATGTGGCAAAGCTACGGTAATCGATTTTCTTACATAGAAAAACTCCATATATTAATGGGTATACGTCTTCTATGAATTTTAAATATTATTCAAGGATAAAAACCTAAATTATCAAAATTCAATGCATCGTAATGGCTTCATGTTGTCTGTACTGTACCGTGTAATTGGGATTTCCAGGCTGAATGCGGAGCTCAGCTAAGATCCAGATGCCATTGGTTAGCTTCAGGGACTGGTACAGCATGTCCTGGCCTTCCACGTTTCTTTTGGCAATGGTGTAGATGTTGTTATTCTGCAGCCTCCCTGATACTGTGTCTGCAAGACCATAATCAGTATTACGTCACCACATGATGCTATAATTCCATAAAGAATAAAGATGAAACCAAACAACACACACACAAGACGCTGCAAAAGGTACTAACACCAACATGTACAGGGACTAATGCAAGTCTGTTACTAAGGGGGAAGTAATCCTATCAGGACTTTAATAAACTATGATCAGAATGTAAAGATTTCTCTAAAAATAGCAAAATATTCTAATACTGGCTCAGGCTGCTTCTACGGTCAGCTCAGTGGGAGTTTGGTAGCCACTTCAACTGCCAGGAAAACAATGAAACAATTATCAGCAGCTTCTATATGAAAAGAAGCAGCAGTGCCGAATGGTTACAGCTAAAAAAGGAGGAATCCAAAGATCAGCATGTGGGCAAAAAAAAAAAAGAAGACAAAGAAAAATGTTAGCTCTTTTATGGAGTAAAATATCAAGGCCACCCAAGAAGAGGAACCAAAACGGCAGCAACCAAATGATTTTTGCAAAAATAATGAAGTTTATTTGTACATCAGAGTTTTCTCCTTTGTTTGTGAAGGAGTTGCCTACCTGCATTTAGATGACAGTCTTTTATCTGATACTGAAGCTCGTTCTCATTGGGGATGTCCTTCCAGGTAGCCAAAAACACCTGTCGCTCTGCAGAAAATAAAACACGCAAATGTTAAATATTTATTGATGAGCTGACGTACGGAGGGAAGGAAATCACACGTGTTTAAACATATCAAACACACTGTACATATTAGAATTACAGTAGTCCCTCATTTATCATGGGGTTTAGGGGCCACGCCCGCCCTCCCCCTGCGATAAGTGAAAAACTGCAAAGTAGAGATAGTAGTACAAGGTACTTACAAAAAAGTAGTAGTACGTAGTAATTTATTTTAGTATTTATACATGTATTAAGGCTTTATAAACCCTGCCCACACTCTTGCAATACTCTAAACAATAGGGCTGAACTATACGGCCAAAACTTTTATCACGATACATTTCTTAATTTCTGTCGATAACGATATAATTCAATATCGATATAAACAAAATAAAAGCCTCAGAAAAACTGTACAAGCTGTACAAATAATGTCCACCTTTTATTTTAAATACTGTAATATTTTAAATAAACAATCCATGGGTTGTTTATTGTAAAATAATACAGTATTTAAATTTAAATTGTAGAGAAGAGAAGCGCAGCAGGACAGCAAAGGGTTAACCCTTCACAAAACTTCTGCAGCACGGAGCAGAAATGTGCGAGTGGCAGAGAGCGGAGTTCATGACACAGCAGGAGGGAGCTTCTCCCTGCACTTGCGGGCTGCACACGAGTGCTAAATCATTTAAAATAATTTATTTTAAATAAACAATCCATGCCGCTCTTGTGGCTCATCCATCAATCAGCCAGTTGTGTGTCATGTCCAATCTTACTTTGAAAAACTGTGAAAGAGCGAGTCAGCGAAAGTCGAACCGCGAAGTAGCGAGGGACTACTGTACATGCTGAAATTTGTTTTTTAGTTTCTTATACAATTAAAATAAATCAAAATATATTTATTAAGCCGAAATTAAAAAGCTGCTTTCAGTACAATGTGAGGATTCTTTGAGAGAAAAAAAAAAAAAAAAGCAATCTTATTCATTTTAGAAGATAATTTAGATTGTTATAGGACTGATGCTGTAATGCAAATCTTACCCATTTTTCCATCCTCAACAAAGAATACGTTCAGAGGGATAAGTACGCTGAAGTAGAACACATCAATGTTGTTCTTTACAGCCACCTGTACGCAAGTAAACAAAGTAAAAAAAACAAAAACATTGTGCCACCATGCTATAACCACGTGCATTCAATGTTAATACAGGCAGAAACGAAAACCAAGATTTGTACATGAAATATTCAACACATAATGATTCAACCCATACCACTGAAAGCAAAAACATGCATTAACCAAAAATGTTTGTGGTTAAACTTGTTTTTTGGTGGGGGAGGCAGGAGCCAGCAGAAAATGTAAGAAGTGGTGTATAAACCGACTTTTTAAAACAATCTTCAACAATTTTCCTTCAGTCTTTTTCAAGGTCTTTCAAGAATTTTCTGTAGGTTTGGCAAATTGTTCACTCATTTTTATTTTTTGTCCAATCCTTTTGCTCAAGGATATTTAGCTAAAGGACTGTCAAGATAACAAATTCTGCTGGGCGATTAATTGTCTCAGAAATTATTGCGATAAACGATAATATTGTTTGAAATTTGACAATAATTAGTAATTATTGTCAAATTTAACAAGAAATGTTGATTTTATTTTGAGCGTAGTACATTTTTTAACACAGGACGGCAGTATAAGACAGTTTGAACTGAAGGATGGATAGTAAGGAGCGAGCAGCGTGTGTCTTTAAGAAAAATGGGAGGGAGGCTCCTTGACATGACATGAGCTGTCTCTCCTTCCTTTTTTTCTGGCTCTCAAAATGGCGGACGCTCGGTGTGGTTTGAGCTCTTTAGCATAGAATTTTTCACACAAAGATTTTATTAAACAATCAGTAAACAAGTTCTCAGCTTCTTTTTGCAGAGAAAAACAACTTTTTACACAAAGGCACGGGTTTCAACCGTGAATTTTGGAGCTTCGACAAGACGGAGTCCCCCCCCCCGCCGAGGTCGGCTTGTTAGCTTAGCTCGTAGCTTAGCTTCTCAGCTTAGCTGCTTTTAAAGATCCAAAAACGTGATTTTGGATGGTTAAAACAGATTTTAAAGAGAAAAGAGAAAGGGAGGGGTCAGTGAAGAACAATGGAGTTGAGCATTTTGTCATCCGGTGTCTTCAGTAGAAAGAGAGAGACAAAAAGAAACGATAAAGCCGATAAATGAAAATGAGGTCGATAATTTCCATTTATCATGCGATTAATTGATTTGTTTATCGCAACAGGCCTAATTTAGCTAAATCATAAGCTCAGTGTAAGCAAATTATATTAAAACTAAACAACTTGAGACTTTTGTTCAGTTCTGTGTATACGCTTCACAATCAGTTGGACAGCTTTCTCTCACTAACTGCCTCCAACTAAGATTCATCAAGGGGTTAAACAGCTCCTGCTGAAAGCAGCGTTGTTCAGGTGATGGTCGCTCTTCAGCTACACAAACGTCGTGACACCTGCTTCTGTACCTGTAGATTATTGAGAGGATCCATCTTCATAACCGGCCCGATGGTGTTCAGAGGCAGAGAGGCGTCGATACTTTGATTGGGCATCAGCGGAGTGTGAATAGGCAGAGGACTGGTGGGGATCACCCCAAAACTACAAAAAAATAAATAAAAAATACACAGCTTTAAAAGCCAGCGTCATTCTCCAACAAGTTCTAACAAACGCTTGTCTAAAGCTAGAAAACCAGTGTAAAATAATCCCTTTGATTTGACTGAATCACCTGTTCTTGTTGAACTGGATGGCAAAATCGTTCATGTGTTGCAGGGCCTTGTTAGTGAAGTTCATGTCCATGTACATGTGGCCCTGGCGTCGGGAGAAGGTTCCAGAGATCTCCAGTCCTTTAGCTTTCACAGCAGGAAGCCACACCTGATACAAAAAGCACCATTTAATCACTCTTCAAGTTATTTAATCACACTAACGCCACCTGCATATCAATGCTAGAAATGTTACCTTTAAATTATTAAATATAAAATAACCCCTTGAGTTCTAATCTGGCAATCCATACCTCTGACCTTGTTGTTGCTGGGATTAAGTTGTGTGTACTCACTGCTTTCGGGGCTGCGTAGCCTCCGGTGGTGACGGCCATGCCTGTAGAAATCTCAAACAGGTCGTTGAGGCCGCTGCTGGAAGGCGGAGGCGCAGGAGTGGGTGATGGAGCAAAAGTACTGGGGACAGAGGATGGGATGAAGTTTTGTCCCACCTAAGTCAATCACAAAAAATAATTAATGTTACTAACCTTTTGGGGACCATCGCGTGCGGGTGAATAAAAACAACAGCACAAGAAAACAAACAAAAAAAGTCTAAATTTTGTGTGTGTGTGTTACTTCATTTATCTAAATGTTATTTTGAAAAATGCAAAACTTATGACCTAAATGGTCCAAATTATTAGGTTGTTTTTTTTTTTTTAGCTAAAAGGCTAATTAATAGTACGTACAATCTTTTATTGTGGTACATACAGGACATCATAATTCATTCAACCTTTATTTACACAGGTTAATCCAATTGAGCCTCGGGGACTCAATTACAAGAGAGTAATAAATAAGGTAATAAATAATAAAGTAATAATGACAATGTTGGATGGAAACATCTCTCCAAAAATGCAACTTTTTAGGAAACATAAATTTTTTTTTTTTTTATTAACTACAGGTTCTTCTGCTGTTTGACACTTTCCATTGGTTAACAATTCATAAAACCACAAACGGATGTGAAGGGTGACCAATGGAGTTCATTTATGCAAAAATATGAAAATGATATATAAAAAAAGGATTTTTGTCAGACATTTACAATATTATTAATATTATTATTTATTCTTAAGCATTATATTTTTCTCATAACCAATAAAGCAACAATAACAGAATAAATACCTTGGAGGGAAAAGTCTGTTTTGGATAATCCGTTGATTTGTACTTATAGAGCTTAATGAGGCTTAAACTGTAGAAAATCTTTTATTCCCCCAAAATGCAGCTGATTATTGGAGTAAAACAAAAACTATGCTCTAAAAATATCAAATTGAGCAGAAATGGGTCTATAAATTTTGTTTCATTACATAATATAGGTAGCTATCAGCAAACCTGCAAACCTTTCCTAACAGAGCACTTTGCTCTAAGACTGCAGGTTTACTTGTGGTTTCTAGAGTTTCCAAAAGCAGAACGGGAGGCATATCTTTAAATTATCAGGCTCCTCTCTTGTGGAACCAACTTCCAACTTCTGTCTGTCACCTGATGCCCAACACCTTGTCTGCTTTTTAAGACTGGACTTAAGTATTTCCTTTTTGATAAATCCTATAGTTATGATCGACTTGGGTTTCCTGAGCTATCCTTTAGTTGTGCTGCTATAGGTTTAGACTGCTGGAGGACACATTAACCACATTTCCTCACTCTGCTGCTGTCATTGATTGCTCCACTCTACCTGCTGTAATTATTTATATCCTCAACATGTTTTTTGTCTTTCCTCCTATAGAAAGTCCACTCGGACCTGCCATTTTGTGTTTGTTTCTCCTTCCTGTCCTCTCAAACCCCAGTCGGAAAAGATGGCTGCTCGTCCTGAGCCTGGTTCCGCTGTAGGTTTCTTCCTGTTAAAAGGGAGTTTTTCCTTGCCACTGTTACCATTGTACTTGCTCAGGACGGGAGACTGTGACAAAGTGAAGATTCAACACAATCTGCTGCTTCCTAAGATACGTAACTTTTAATAATTGGCTTTTTATGCATGTGAATGTTTTTGTACAGTGCCCTGAGATGACTTCTGTTGGAACTTGGCATTATAGAAATAAAATTAATTATTACTTATCTTCTGTTTATAAGCAAAAACACAAAACTCGGAAGAAATAACAAAAAGAGTGACAAAGTTTAAAAGTCTAAAAGCCAAAGAACAATATTTAGAGTTTGGAAGCAAGAAGCCAAATCAAGACAGACAAAGTCTAGACTTACTGCTGGACTTCCCCCAACACCTCCGCCCAGGTCTCCTCCCAGCTATAGGAAAGAGGAGAGGACCCCCAACCATCATAGACAGAGAAAACACACAGACAGAAACTTTCTTAGCAAATGTGATCAATATAAAATCCTCTTACATCCTGGAAAAATAAAACCTCTGCATTGTATTTTGTATATTAAAACAAGATATTGTTCAAGCTTGCAAACTTATAAATATTGAACAGAAAAAAATGTACTTAAGAGTAAACATCAAATACAACAGCTATAACCCAGATATAAAAGTTTATTTTATTTGTCCATTACATTGACCTCCAGTTCAGCGTTTCCTTTCACTCGTAATTAAAAATGAACATATTTGTGCAACTGAGCTCACCAAACTGTCCAGGCCTCCACCCAGAAGGTCCACCGCACCCATCTGCATGGAGGAGACTTGGGGTACGTTAACCGGAGGGCCCAGGTCCAGGTTCAACAGGTCGCCCAGCAGGTCACCCTGGCTGGGGATCACATGTGGCTGATCCATGGCAGCGGCTGGCCCGCCACTCACAGGGCTCTCACCTGTGTCAATGCTGTTACAGGAGAGAGGAGGGAACAGGTAACGGACTTAAGAGTTCATTACTGAGAGCGATGTGAAACATCAAAACTGAAACTCCAACAGTCTGCATTCCTTTGAATTTGCTGACCAGAAACAAATGAAAAGTTGGAGAATGAACTCCTGTAAAAGTATCGCTCTTAAAAAGGCCAAACAACTTCAAAATCTGATATAAAACGTTTGCTTTATGTTTTTAAACTGTTCCATTTCAAGTCAAATCCATTCATTTAGTCACCATCAGAACAAAATAAATTGTATTTTTTTTTTCCACTTAATGAAAAACTCATACAAAAATATGGACAATGTGCTAAAGTCAGGTTAATACAGGTCTCAAACTCTGTGATGGAAATAAATTATTTATTGATCAGTTTCCGGATTTATTCAATAAATCTTACCTATTAAAAGAACCTTTATAAGCCTTTAAGGTGATTGTGAATATTACAATGTTATTTCAAATCATAATGCTTTGGAATCACTGTTTGTGAATCAGGACAGCTGGCTAGACGCTCATCACCTCCTCGAAAGAAACCTTGAAAATGTTTTCCTTTCTGTGAGGCAGTTATCTGCTTGGGTTCGGTTCTGACAAACACCAAGACACAGAGAAGGGGAGGGGGCAGGCCCCTGACGAGTTCCTACCAAAAAAAACAAAAAACTTTTCAGTCCAGGACGTCAGAACGGGTCAAGAACTCGGACAAGGCGTTAATAAGTTCTGTACTTGTGATGAATGAACTCTGTAGATCTGGCTGTTCTCCAAAGCTTCGTAATAAATTCAATGAACTCTACACCTGTTTGTTTATGAATCAGTTTTTTTTTCTACAACACTCTTTCTTGTGTCTTTGAGTGTCAACAGTGGTGATGAAGGATTGTAACTGTATGAAACCTAAACTCATAATCTCAACAGCAGAGTCATTCTGCTGCCAGATAATGACAATAGGAAATGTCTCAATTCACAAATCTTATCTTGATATTAAAGTCATAAATAGCACCAATGTGTGCATTCCCATGAATTACTGTTTTTGCCACAATAGTTAAATTGGGCTACATCTATGTGCTGGAACAACTCATATTTTGAGTTTAAATGATATACCATCTTTCTTTGTGCTCACATTCTCCCCATTACCAAGATTAGACCCGTCTATCACATTAAAAATAACCTAAATTTATTTTTATTAGTCTATGGAGCGTGCTGAACTTTTGGTCTACACAAGATATTTCTCTTGCATCGAATTTTCAAGGGAATAATTAAGCAATATTTAGAAATGAGGCAATTTCCTCTTCTGCTTTTCAGCATAAGTGAAGCACGAGTTGTGCTAATAACCAAAGAGTTTTACTCTTATTTGCTCACTGAAGTAATTCAAGTGTTTACAAAAATATCACACTTTTGAATTCTGCATATAAAATACTCACCCACTAAGGTGTAATTTATATAAACCACATTACTGCAAAAATAAATAAACACACAAACAACTCATTCGGACTACACTCAGAGGTAATGTTTCATTCTTGGGACATCAGACGGTCTTTAAATTAGAGGTAACACTTCAAGTTGTCAATTTCAGAGATGTGCACTTTGCAACAGTTGTTCTTTTTAAAAACTGCCACAGAGTCAAGAAAGAAGAACGTCCTTAATACATGTGGTTTCTGCTTGTGCATATATACAGAGGCCCTGCTGGCTGAAAACAGCTGGCACAACAAAGCATCTGGATCATATGTCTGACGAGTTTATGCTTCTGACCTGCTGTGCTGCACAGGAAGGTGTTTCCGGTGGACTCCATGGCTTCCCTCCACAAAGGCGCTGGGCGGTTTGTGATAGACCGAGGCCAGGGAGCCGATGTGGCAGATGAGCTCGTCCAACAGGGTGGGCTCGATCAGGTCCGTCTCCTCTGAGATCAGGGGCTTTTCTGACAGCACCACCTCTTTGGCGGTCACAGGGTCGGTGGACAACAGGCGCCAGTAAATGTAGCCCCTGTCACGGAGGTCAGGGTTGTCAGAGTCCTGAAGGGGAAATAAACAAAAGCGGATCAATGCTTGATGTAAATATATATTGATTTAAGTATGTTGATATACGGGCAGGTAAAACCGAAACAAAAAGCTAATTAAAAAAAATTAAAAAATCACTTTATACCGTTTCTGAAAAGGGGCCAGTATATGCTTAAAGAATGTATTTGCCCACCTCAAAAAAAATTTTTTTTTTTTTTATTAAAATTTTTTGCAAGATGTCCCTCTATGGTTTTATATTCTAGAATAAATAAATTACACATATATGTTTTAAAACCTCTAAAATTTCTTAATAAAGGGATTGTTTCCTTCAATCAAACAGAGAAATAAGTTATTGCAATCATTCTTGTTTTTTTTTTTTGTTTCTTTTACAAATATCTGCACAATAAGTGCTTGCAGACCACACAGAGCTGATGCACCTGAGCAGTCAGGAGAAAAACAAAACATTTGAAAAGATGTTCTTTTTCAGAATAAAAAAAAAATCACCTGAGTGGCCAGACTGAGGACCTGCTGCACCAGCTCCTGAGTCTCTGACGGTTTCTTAAGAAACAGCTTGACGATGGCCGTCAACAGAGTGAGCTGCACCTGCAAATCAAAAATATGCACTTTATAGATATTCTGGTCATTATTGGTGTGCAGACCACCTCTTAGCCTTGATCCATAATCAAGATTTTTCCAGTACTTTGGAAAATGATGTAAAAATACACAGTTTAATTACTGGTACACTTAATACAGGGCTTAAGATTTGTTTACTGAATGGTGGAAAGCACTGCAAGAAAGAAAAATAATAATTCAGATGTTAAAATTAGGCCCCTTTAATAACATTTACATTACACAATTTCAATTTTGCATTAATTTTTGGGTACCACTTTATGATAAGGGTACTTTTAAAATAGTGAATAATGCAGTTATTAATTAAAACTTAAAAAACCCTTACTAAGCAAATATGATGCATTAGATAAAAAAAGACACTACTGACTTATTATTTAACAAAGTGCGCCTGCTTTAGTGTATGAACAATATAAACTACTGCTTAAATGCATATTAATGCTGTAGAAAAGGCTTACAAACTCATAAAAAACTATTTATAAAAACATCCTGATGCATGCTCAATAATCCAGGTAGAAAAATCCAAAAAAGTTCAATCTGGTCCTCTGGACATTCAAAATAAACAAAAAACAAAACAAAGCAAAGCAAAAAAAAATATAGAAACGTTTCGTCTCTCATCCAAGAGACTTCCTCAGTCTGAGGTGCTGTTTTCAGCTCAGTCTCTTAAATAGCACCTTCTCAGAGTGGGTATTTATAAAAACATTAATAATGTAAACCCTTTTGTAATGTACCACTGTTGTAAAGCGGTATTGCTTTTTCTAAAACTTTAATTTACTGCAATAGTTAATCTGAGTTTCCTGAGACTTTATCAGTCTGATAGCTTATTTATGCGGATCGACACAGAATCTGAGGCAGAACCTTAAATTAACTCGATATAAAATTAACAATGAGAAATATCATTTTAACATTTTAACTGAGAACGTGAGGCAGAGCCAACAGGTAATCTGGAATCCTGCTAATCTGTAGCAGGCTAAGAACAGAGACTGGCCAATCTAATACATGCTGAAGTCCTGAAATGTAGAGTCCGACCAATATATTGATAGGACCGATATTTTAGGCTGATATAGGTATTTGGGGACATATATCGGTGATAATTGGCCCATTATGCGCCGATATAAACACTTCTAATTTTCACTCCTAAAATGCTGGTAATGAGCTGTGTCCTTACTTGCAAATGGCATAATTGTAGAATGTATCCAGCAGAGGGCGCATGCGGACTAATTTCCAGTCATGGCCATGCTGCATACTTGACACAGCACAGCTGAGAGAGACCCAAGAAGCAGGCAACAACTAAATACTGTGTAGCGTATTTTGTTGAACAGAACAGAGTCAGACCGGTTTCAAGGATGGACCCGGTCAGGATTCAACAAGAACATGGTAAGTTTATTGGAACTGATCTGTAAACCACCCACTTGTCATTAGCTGCGTGCCTCTCAAGTTAGCATGCTAATGTTTAGATAACTTAGCATAGGCTATTGCCTTGTAATACTGTAGTCAGAACAATAAATCTTATAGTGTTAGTAACGTTATCTTTGTTGTCCTCAATAAAATGCATTGTTTGGCTGAAATCTTTACTTCTCTGCAAAGAAAAATAAATGCAGCTGCGGTCAATACTAATTAGACCTTCACTATACGTGACTGACATGGGCAGCTGTGGCTGAGTGGTTAGAGCAGTCGCCCTCCAATGTTCGAATCCACCAGCAGTCACATGCCGAAGTGTCCCTGGGCAAGACACTGAACCCCTCATTGCCTCTGATGCGTGTCCCATCGGTGTATGAATGTGATAAAGCACTGATTAGTCTCTTTAGAATGATTTGTTCAATTAACTTTGTAGATATCTAGTAGAGTGCTGTATGAATGTGTACATGAGGTAAAGGTTGTAGTGTAAAGCGCTTTGAGTGTCTTGATAAGATAGAAAAGCGCTATATAAGTACAGTCCATTTACCATTCTGTTTACTGTTTAAACAAAAAAGATGGAAGGGCGTTTCTTTATTTAATTTTTTGTAACACACTTGATAACTTTATGGTGAACGGTGGAGGATAGAAAACGTGAACGCACATTAGAAAGACTGTTTTTATGACCAGTGCGCCACTTGTAAACCTACTGTGGGATAGCGTGGATCTGATTTGTTTAGCTTCATGGTTGCTACCAGATGCGCTAAATAAACAAGCCCTACTCCTTTCACTGTTCACTTAGATTCTTGGTTGTGGACAAAGCTCAAATATTTTTAGCTAATATCGGCATTAGCCTTCCCCTCCCAATATCTGTATCAACAATAGCCAAAATTTCCCTATCGGTCAGGCTCTACTGAAATGTTCCAAACATGTTCAGTAGGGGTTGGCAGTGAGAATGCAAAGTGTTCTTGACGTCTTAAGAAGATCTTTAACTAGTTTCTACTAATATTTTTAGAAGATCAGCGTCCAGCAGTATACGAATAGTACCGCTAATCTTCCACAAGCATTTCTGTAACTGATCAAACTTTTAATAGACTTCTACTGACCAGTATTTTGCTTTTGACTTTGCCTTAAAGATAAAACATTAGATACATGTAGGAATGATAACACAAAATGGTCAACACAAAGTTTGAACAGTTACGGCAGATATAATCTGGCACAAACCGTCAAAATGCTCGTGTGTGCAAATAGTTGTTGCCCTCTGTGATAAACATAAACAAAAGTCATGGAAAGAATGAAGCGAGTATGGCTCAGATTCTCCTGCGAACGTTCACCAACTCGGATGAAGAATCAATACTCAGCTGAACAGAAATTATTTCCAGGACTTGTTTTTCTGAGTTTGCCGAGTGCTGTTCGTGTTCTTTTATTTTGGTGAACCCACCTGAGTGCTCTCATCGTGGAAGCCCTCGAGAAAGCTCTCGAGCAGCTCGTCGGCGTTGTCGATCCTCTCCGCGTACTCGCCGACAATCCAGATCATGGCACCTCGCGCGTCAGGTTCATCCAAAGAGTCGAGATTCTCACACAGTGTGGCAATGATGCTCTCGTACCTAAACAACATCCGAATTTCAAAGGTCAGAAATTAACTAAATTAGTACGGATAGGTTTACTATTTGTCTTAGGGATTCTGAGGGAAATCTTACTTGTTAGGATACTTGCGGAAAATGTCCCTGATGACCACTATAGCCTCCTGAACCACGTAGTTGACCTTAGTCTGGATCAGGTCCAGCAGAGTGCTGACGCAGCGCTCCGCTGATTGCTACAGGGGGGAAAACACATTAACTCTCAACAGTTCTTATAGCAAAGGACCATAACAACTCATAACACAAACTCTTTTAACACATCTAGAATGCACCAGAAAAATGTCAGACTTTTTTCAGTAGAATTAGTAATTAGACTGAGTGACGGCATTTCTGACCTCCACTTTGATGGCACAGCGTCCGATTGCTCGTACAGCCTTGCGCACAAAGTCAACATCGACCTCTGTGGCATATTCCTTCAGTTCAGCCAAAACCTGCAAGAATGTTTAAAATAAAGCTTTGTTTGTTAGCCTAATTTACTTTAATATAGTTTACATAATGGGATATATACTAAAGGATAAATGCTGAAATCAAAAATAGGTTTTGCTGATCGCTGAATAACATGACATACATTATACTTGAATTAATTTCCCTCAGTTTGATCACATACACGTTTTAAAAGAAAGCCTATACTGACAAAAAATAAATATCCTCACAATAAACATTTCTGTAGTTGCTTTTCATATGATGTACCTGGGCAATGTTGGCCTGTGATGCCAAGCGGATCATGATGTCCAGTTTCTCCAGTTTCACATAGATCGGGTCGTTATATTTGACGAAGAACACCTTAATCTCCTGCTTCAGGATCTCAGGTCTGCACAAAAATATAACTTTAGATTTAGGAAAAGTCACCCATGAGTGTGATTTGATTGCACTACTGATAGTTTCAAGGCATTATTGATGTGAATATTAAAGCTTTTCTTTGTCATATGACATTACTTTTTGGGGGGGACGTTGACACCAACTAGTCAGCTCTTCCACCACATTTTAAATGTAGTTCCAAATGTTTATATTTTGAGTACTGAAATTAACTTTTGGAATATAACAGTACAGTGTACCGCCCAATCATTATGTTTTGATTACGAACCTCTTCTGAACAATGAGGTTGATGTTCCTCAGAGCCACGTACTGGACCTCTGGCTCTCCAGACAGCAAGGTCACGAGCGGGGGTGATAATTTCTTCAGCAATGTGTTGTAGTAGTCCGAGTCCTTAGGCAGCAGCTCTAAGAACTTCATCAGGACCTTAACAGCTGACAGGACCACAGCTGAGTTGGCATGAGACAGCCTGGGAGTGACACGCTCACAGATGCTTTGAGACAAGACCAGAAAAAGTAATGAATAGTAAGAAGGGAAACATTTTATTTATTCAAAAGAGGCATGAGCGTAATATGTCTAGGAAGAGGACTGATGCAGCAACAGTTTGGGCTTTGTGTCTGCTCGTACAAACTTTAATGCTAGTATAATAAACGCTAAAGACTGCTACCTTTGAGCCTCACGGTCATCCTTGGGGTTGTAGTTGGACAGACAGTCCAGGATGAAGATCTGTCCCCACTCAGTGCACTCGTTGAGGGCCGTCAACAGCTTGTTGATGTTCTGGGGATTCAGGTCCAGCAGGTTGCTGTTGGGGTGAGACTCGCTGATCTCAGACAGAGCAGCAACTGCATTGGCCACAACCTTTAAGGAGAGAAGTCAAACCAGTACAGTTTTTAGATTTCAGAAATGACAAAAAACACCAGAGTTTAACTAAAATCAACCAAACTGAAATCAAGTCTTCAAGGTGGAAGACCAACCATGGGATTTGAGTCAGCAATGAGGTCTCTCAGAGAGTCCAAGAAGCCCTGGTCCTCCACCATCTGAGCATTTATGTCGTGCAGTTTGGCCACACAGACAGCCGCTGTCTTTCTCACATACGGATCCTCATCCTTCAGGCACTTCCTCAGCGGCTCACACAGATACTCTGTGATCTTATCCACCCGGATGCAGCCCATGGTGCGTACAGCCAGAGCCCGGATCAGAGGGTTGGGGTCCTCACAGTCCTGCCCAGCAGAATACAAAAGAGTTTATTTTTACGAGTAATTCCCATTGTGGCCCAAAATAAAATAAAACACTGTTTCATATTCATAAAATTGATTTTTTTTTTAAATACTAAATAGTGTCAGACATTCTTCTGACTAAAGGGAAAAATCAAGTAAATTTTTAATTTATGTATAGAATCAAACAATAAAAGTGCAATTGATGTCCTTGCCTTGACAAAACTGTTCACAGCCATGATGGCCATGTCCGGCTGGCTTTTGGCGTAGTTCATTAAATAAAGATAAACCAACTTCTTCAGCTCCAGGTTGTCGGTCTGCATGCAGTTAACCACATCTGGGAACAGAGAACTGAAAGCAAAGAAACAAGACTTGTTTAAATTTAACAGTAAGGAGGTTAAACGTTGTTTCTTTCACCCTATATTTGAACAACGGTAAAAGTGTTCAGTAGTGTAAAGAGTTCAAAATAACAGCCAAGTTACAGGAAATATGATTGTGTACCTGACATCTTTGCCAACGGTCATAGCAGCGATGACCTTCTTCACTGCCTCTTTTCTCTTCTCCTTCTTCTCATTGTTCAACTCTGCCTTCAGCTCAAAGATCTCCCCTGAAAAATAAACACTAAGCGATGATGGCAGCACAGTAAAAGTTTACAGTGAAAGGAGTTTAGAATAAAAATGACTCATGGACCATTTAAAAAACATTTTACTCCCAGTACTTACCTTTTTTGTTTGTAGTGAAATATTTAGAGTCTGTCATGTTTGTAGCTCTTCAAGCCTGCACGCAAGCATACAAAGAAAAAACAGGAATTATCCCGGTTTTGATCCAACCGTACTCTCTGATTTGCCACCTGTTGTTGAATTACAGAGCATTTTATGGGCAACAGAGTGCAACTGTTCAACTGATCGCCTTTATTTCTACTAACTGATGATCTTTTCATTAATGTTCATGTAATAAAACAATAAAAAAAGACAATAATAAGATTGTAAATTGCTCTGAATTGTATGTGCAAATCTAATATAAAAGCTGGTAGGCTTGTACGCATTTTCTTCCAATCTCTATCATAAATTCTTACGAAAATACTTTAAAAACAAACTTCCTGAATAGGATCCCAGATAACAATATGAATCATTTAAAAGCATGTGGCACAAAACACAAGCATGTTCCAGCATGCACTGGAAGCAACAGCAGTTATGCTGTTTGTATGGACATGAGGTTTCACAGTAGTTTTTTTTTTTCTATGGAAGAATTGGGAATGAAAATAAAACAAGTTTCCAATCAGTGGACAATAGGGCTGAACAATTAATTGCATTTGCAATAATATCGCGATATGATAAAATGAAATTTTCTAATCACAAAGGCTGTAATTTGACTGGTTACGTGACTTGCGAGTGAGCGGAGCGGAGCAGGGAGCGGGAGAAGTAAACTCTGCTTTAACTGGTTGCACAATGACATCAGGCTCGGCAGAAGCTGATACATCTGAAAGTATGGTACCAGAGAGGGGCAGCATGTCCGTTGTTTGGAATTATTTTTGCTATAATAAAGAAGACGCTGCACAACGACATGTATTGTGCAGAACCTGCCTTGCTGCTGACGCTACCTCTCGAGGTAGAATAACCAAGTCGCATGGCTAGAATGCCGACACGGATCACTGACCAAACTGTTCGAAGGTATTACTCCATATGAACATAATTCAAAACGACATGTAGAAATAACTCGAGCACTAACGGAGTTCATAGCGAAAGACATGATGCCCATTAATATTATGACCAAGCCTGGGTTTCTGGCTTTGGAAAACACAATGGATAAGCAGTACAGAATGCCCTCAAGCACACATTTTAGCAAAGTTGCTATTCCGGAGCTACACAAAAAAAATATGCAGAAACAGAGTTGCAGCGGAGCTGAAAACAGTGGAGGTTTTTGCAAATGAAACAGACTGATTTATTGCTTGTGTTCGTTGAAAAATACACGAGAAGAAGCCAACGAAAAATAATCACATATTTAATCGCAATCGCAATATTGACGTAAAAAATCGCAATTAGAATATTTTCCAAAATCATTCAGCCCGACTCTAACCCACAATATATAGCGTGTGTGTATGTATATATATATATATATATTTATTTTATTTTAAATTATTATTATTATATATATTATAATAAAATGGGCATTATAATCTGGCAGCAGTGTGAGGGTTTAATAAATAATAGAAAAAACTGTGATACGAGGAAAGTTTTTTTTTTATATAAATTTGAGCTGATATGAACCAGCAACCATTTACTTTTAGTTTTGAGTCTGAACTTTAACACTCCATTGCTGAAAATGTATCAGTTAAATTTCATCTAAAGAGAATCTGTGTGAGCTACAAACGCTCGGCTGTTCTAAACCAACTGGACACAGTAGCAATAGCCAACTGCCAAGGACAAGGGACCTAGGCTGACTGAAGCTCTCCTGTGAGTATTCAAAAGACGTTCAATACAAAAACTGTGAGTAGTGGTGACTTCAAGGAGGTCCAGCAAACTAGAGCTGTCATCCAAATGTCTACCCCAGTAGAAGTTCAATTTTTAAGTTAAATTGTCATCTTCGGGGCTGATCAACCTGGATCGTTAGCTGCATTTAAAAAATTAGTCAGACATCTCTTTTTATATGTGGCTATGGTTTTTGTCCATAATAATGATATATAACTTAATAATTCTTGGTTGGTAACTATTGGACTCATTAGTATGACAGAACTTAGTTTAATCTACTTTGAATAAATAGTTAGTGATTTATTATCTTTCATCCCATTTAGTGGTTGAACAGGATAATTTTAGGTCATATTTTGATATCTGAACTCGGTCGTTAGATTCTGCAAATATGTAATAAAAAAAACTCTCTGTGATAGAATTGCAACCTATTCAGCGTATACCTGCACAATAACAGCTGGAGATAATCACCAGCTCCCCCACAAACCTGAACTGGAAAGGGAGAAAAGAAAATGAATGGACGAATGGGTGGATGAGTGTATAAAACATAGCCCCTTTATATTTAAAGTACTGTCTCTCAGTTTTTTGTACAATTGACTTCAGGGTCGGGCAGCACGGTGGCACAGTTGGTAGAGCTGCTGCCTCTCAGCGAGCTGGTCGCCCCCGTTCAAATCCTGGCTGGGGGCTTTTCTGGGTGGAGTTTGCATGTTCTCTCCGTGCATGCGTGGGTTTTCTCCGGGTACTCCGGTTTCCTCCCACAGACCAAAAACACGCATGTTAGGCTGATCGGTAACTCCAAATTGTCCCTAGGTGTGAGTGAGTGTGTGAATGGTTGTCTCGTTTGTCTCTGTGTGTCCCTGTGATGGACTGGAGACCTGTCCAGGGTGTCCCCCGCCTCTCGCACAGTGACCGCTGGATATAGGCACCAGTGACCCCCACGACCCATAAAGAAGAAACGGCTAAAGGTGATGGATGGATCCAACTATTCAACTATTTAAAAGAGCAAGAAGAGTAAACATTTGAGTTAATAACTCCTAAAAGTATTAATATTTGTGTTTATGCTCCTTTGTTTACCTCTAAATAACGATCAAGTATCTAATATAGACTTTGTGACAGCTTTTAGGGAAGATGAATGAAGTCCATAATAATATCAGATTGATGCACTGTCCTGCAACATTAGGAGATTACAATTGAAAAAGGCCTGATCACCCATAAAATCTGAGTTCATCATCACATAAGAGACAAAAACAATCCACCATGGCCAGGGTTGACAGGAAAACCTTCCTAGAGGATGGCACCATTTGAATTACCTCCATTTTAAAACGTTTTGTTCACAAACTTAAAACAAGTATTGAACAAATTCACACAACAGAAAGAACAACCTGTGTCTCCAACAGGGATGTTTTTGTAACACGATTGGTAAAACTCTCAGATGAAAATCATGTGGCCTTGCGAAATAATGCAAATAACTGTTTTAGCATTTTTATATGAACCTTTTGACAGGGAGCTGTTCTATCACTCACAAATCTGTCTTGGATATCTGATTAACTTCCAGTTTAGTTGCTTTACACCACTATAATATAGTTAAGCTATAGCTATGTTTTCATGGCTTTACGTGATTGTTTAACATCTTAATGAAACGTTAATATCTGGCACTTCCACTTAGCTAGCTGTTAGCTACATGCTAAATGCACCAACTACCCCCAGACGTTTCGAGGCTAATGACCTTAAAAAACGAATCTAATCACAACTGTTAGGTTTATAGCTTTAGCAAACGGAGTTCAGTTGCGTGTTCACCTGAGAATTACGCCAAATCTGATTCACACAAAAAAGAGAAAAGCGACTAGCGGCCCAGATTACACCGCTGCTGGCCGACAGGAGTAACGCTAATGTAGCCAAACAAGAGTGCTCGACACAAATGTCACACAAAGCTGTACTAACGTGATTGTGTTGCTAAACTAAAATAGATTTAAAGTACCTGGTGGTGTGTTTAGCAATGAAAATTTCTCAGCCCACTCCTTTTTCAGGTTGGAGGAAGATGGAGAATGGTGCGTTCACAATCGTGGAAAATTGGAAAACTTCCTTTTGGCGCTGAGGCAAGTGGTGCGTTTCAGGACGAAGTTTTGTTGGATTTCTAGCTTTTCAGGTTTTTCGCTTCGTTTCGAAAAATGGAAAAAAATCTAATCTTCTTTTCACTCTATTATTTATCTGTTAATTTTATAGTGTTTACCTTTACTTCCGACACAATTAGTCATATCTAAACAAATTGTATCAATAAAATTATAGGAAATAAAATAAAAAAACTTAAAAGTATAGTACCTACAGAAGATTCCAAAGCATGAGGTATCACTTAATGTTTGAAGCTGTCTTAAAACGTGTCCATATAATTCAATTCCAATAAATGAGCTCAATAAAAAGAGGTGCAATCACCTGATCTGTTCTTACATAAAATGTTAGCACAAAAGCAATTGTTTTAGTTTTAATCATTGGGGATCATATGTAACTACCGTACCCACCATTGCACCCTTTATTCACATCACTAACTTCATGCAGACTCTCCCACTAGTACATGTTCATCTTTAAATAACTTCTTGGTCTGCTGCCTTCATACATCTCCTCCTTCATATCTCTGCGTGAGTGCAGCTACAGCGTGCGCTCTCAGGAAATTATTACATGCAGTGTTCCCCTCAGTGCGGACTGAACTAGGCAAAATATGAGGTTCCATTAGTGCCAAAAATATTTTTATGTAAAGTGTGTATGTAGCATGCTGTGTATATGTAAGGTGAAGTGATATGCTAAGTGATATGTTAAGTGATATGTTAGGTGCATATGTAAGGTGATATGTTAAGTGATATATGTTAAGCATATATGTTAAGTAACATATCACTTAACATATATCACCTTGCATATACACAGCACGCTACATACACACTTTACATGACACATAAACATGTTTTTGGCACTAATGGAACCTCATACACTGTGAAGCATGGTAGTGGCAGCATCATGGATTGTGGCTGAGCTTTGGCAGCCAGCCCTGAAAGGTGCATGAAGGTAGAGGACAGTTGTGGGCACAGCTAACCAAAAAGTTAGTTTTGCTAAACCATTTTCTTGTAATTAAGATATTAGCTTAACTAACACTAAAGAGCAAAAATAATAATAATAATAAATTAGCGAAAGCTAACGCTAAACCGCTAACCACTAAGACGACTGTCACTCAGTCTGTTTCACACGTCTTTGTCTCTTTCCAGTTGAAGCTGCGTCGACCGCTCAGGTCTTGTCACGTGTACATGTAGTAAGTCAACTGCGTACCTTCAGCTAGCTACTGCTGCCTCGACCAATCGCATCTTGTTATGTGTACATGTAGTAAACCAGTAGTGTGTGCCTAATAGACACTTTGAGACACACTCGCAACAGACAGGAACATACTTGTGAATTTTGATAACAGACAAAGTTGGCGAAACCTAATTTAACAGAAGTTAATTCCACTAAAGGTTCAGAAAGAAACTAGTTTTCACTTTGGCATTGAAGAATTTTTATTTATTTATTGTCAAAAAGCGCTATAGAAGTGCAGTTCATTTACCATTTATACAATTTGACCATAACTGGTTTATAATAGGGGCAGGTGGCACAGTTAAAGAGCTGCTGCTTCTCAGCAAAGAAGGTTACCAGATTGAATTCTCGCTGGGGGGCCATTCTGCGTGGCGTTTGCATGTTCTCTCTATGCATGTTTTCTCCAAGTACTCCAGTTTCCTCTCACAGACCAAAAACATGCATGTTAAGCTGACTGATTACTCTAAATTGGTTTCAAATTTGGTTTCTCCTTTGTCTCTATGTGTCCCTGTGATGGACTTGCGACCGGTCCAGTGTATCCCCCACCTCTCGCACAGTGACGGTTGGATATGGGCACCAGTTACTCCCGCAACCCGAAAAGGAAGAAGCAATTAAAAAATAATGGATGTATGAATGATTTATAATAGCAGCAAAAGGGTAAAATATCCAAGGTGGTGAATAATTTTATAAACATTGCATTTTCAGCTGTGTTTCAGCTTCCTCAGCATCATTCAGCAGTCATTTAGGATTTCCACATCTGAATTCAAACAAGTGTTAAAAAGAAACAAGCACGTAAAACCTGGCAAACTGGCTGTTAGTCAGGAATGCAGGGATATTTAAAGGCCCGAAAAGCAGAAATTGCTGCAAAACCAGCTAAACCAAAGGACTAAAATTTTTTTAAATATATTTTACAATAAAGTGATGATCAATAAAGTTGGAAAAACATTTAAAAAAAGCACAAGTGAATAAAATATGCAAAATATACCATTTTTATTATGAAATAAATAAACAGTTCATATTTAAATTCAAACATCTATTTTCTGTATTTCAAATTTAAACTCATAAAATAATAACAAAAACTTGAAAATGAACACCGTTACGGTTTGATTAAAAAAAAATATCCTCAAAAGACACTCAAAACTATTTACAAAATTCAGTTACAAAATTTGGTTAAAAACAATAAAAGATTAGATTAGAAATTTAGGAAAAAAGGATAGTTATTATAAAATCACATCAAAACACAAACAAACACATGAAAAAGTCTTTAAAATGATGGTGAGGACTCAGTCCGGGCATTTTAAGGACAGTCTCCATCAAGGCTAATGACTTCGAAGCAGTCTCTTTGGACTTGTCCTCTTTGGAGATGCCCTCTTTCATTAGAGTGTCCTCTCCAGGGTTGTCCCTCCTGGCTCCCTCTTTACGGCTCCTTCCTCTTTGGGGCCGACGGCTTCGGGGCAACTTACACCCAGAATCTGCAATGGCTGCACTGCCTTCATCAGACAGAAAGCAAAGTTAGAGAACTTGTTCTCTTTCATTTTTAAAGTTAGCAACTAAAGCAAATGTTACCAACGCAGCCAGGTTTAACTGGGAATTACTAAATATTTCTTCTATCAGTTAGAATCAGCGTCTAACAATTATTTGAAAAACGGTTCCTGAACAAATTAAAACACAAATAATAATCATTTGCTGTAATGATAGTAAATGTGTTTTATATATGAAAATAATTGTTTTGTTCTGTTTTAATAATCACAGAATAAAAATAATAATCTGGGATGGTGAAATGAATTTACCTGCCTGAGTGTGGTAAAGAGGTGAGGAAGCGAGTTCAGGCAGGATGGAGTGGATGGAGAAAAGCTTCAGGAGTGATTTGTGACAAAAGGGTGTCGGCAAAGGTCAAAGGAACGTTTACAAGACAGTGCGAGAGCATCTATGTTGTATGGTCTGGAGACAGAGACATGGACAAAAAGACAGGAGAAAGAACTGGAAGTGGCAGAAATTAAGATGTTGAGGTTCTCCTTAGGAGTGACAAGGATGGATAAGATCAGGAATGAGATCATCAGAGGTAGAGCACAGGTTGAACAACTGGGAGATAAAGTTAGAGAAACCAGACTTGTAAGGATGGTATCCCTCTGTCAGTCTCACTGTCTGTACTCCCTAGTGTCTCTCAGTAATTACCCCAATCAGCTCCACCCGCGTGTCCTCCAGGTGTTTGTATTTTGTCTCATCTAGTCTGTGTGTATATAAGCTCTGGTCTGTGTCTCAGTCATTGTCGGTGCATCGTCTGGTACAGCCCCTGGTTTGTCTCCTGTGTTCTGTGTATTATTCTGTCCAGATCCTGTCTGTGAGTTTTTTTGCTGCCACGTCAGCTATTTATTTTGATTATTAAAGTGATTATTATTTTACGTCCTGGCCTCTGTGTCCTATCTGCACATGGGTTTGTTCTTGTTCAGCTCAGCCTGAAAATCCCGACAAGACTGGGATGGTTTGGACATGTCCAGAGGAGGGACAGTGGATATACTGGTAGAAGAATGTTAGAAATGCAGCTGCCATGGCAAAAGACAAAGAGGAGATCTATGGATGCAGTTAGAGAGGACATGGAGGTAGTTGGAGTGAGGACAGAAGATGCAGAGGGCAGATATGGAGGAGGATGACTTGATGTGGTGACCCCTGATGAGGGAAAAGCCGAAAGAAGAAGAAGAAGAAGTTAGGTACCTTCTGGCTCTCCTCCACAGCCCGAGTGATGGTCGCCACTATCATGTTCATGAGGAAAACCTGCACCAGGATCACAAAGGAGAAAACGTAGATAGGACCGACCCAGGCATTGTTGTAGGAGCAGGTGGAATCATCTGGACTGCATGGTCGTAAACAGTCCTGCAAGGCACAGAGGAAGATGTTCACTCACTGGCTGGCAGGCATGAAGGAACCTGGATAAACATCTCCAGGTTTCAACCGTGGCATCAAGCAGGATCTCAGGGTGCAAGCACAAAATAAAACACCCACAGTTTGTGTTTGCGTGGCTGCACTCGCACCTTCAGGATCCCGCTCCAGTTGTCGCCTGTCCAGATCTTGTACAAGGTGAGGAGAGCCATAGGGAAGTTTTTGAAGTTACTGTAATGGTGCAGCCCAGAGCACGGGTTTTCCACAGAGCAGTCTGATCGACACAAAGACAAAATAAATGCACAGATGATGATTTTTCTGGCACACGGACTTATTCTAGGCTATAAATCAATATCAAAGAGTTATTTAGCAACAGAAAAGAAAGAAAAAAGCATTTTAATCAAAACTTTAACTTGATCTGAGCAACTTTCAGCTGCACTACGACTCACAGCTGAACGTAAATTAATTCAGCTGTTTGGAATTTGACTGTTCTATAAAATCTGGCTTTCATGCTACTGGGAGTGTTGATGGTGCGACTGACCTAAGTTGCCGAACAGCTGCACCCCGAGTGCTGCGTAAACGAAGAAAAAGAACGATAACAGGATGCAGACGTTCACAATCTGTAACCAAAGCACACGTTAGATCTCCTGCGTATCAAACCGAACAGGGCAGACGCTCAGAATCCTCAAATCCTGCTGAGCCTCGAGTAAATCAAATTGTACTTTTACGCCTGGGTCAATTTTTTTTTCATGCTCTACAATAAAACATCTGAGCCTGGAAACGAAGTGTCACATAAAGACATTACCTGACAAGTAACACAAACCGTGTTGTTATCAAAAGAAC